ATTGGTATACTGTAATTAGTTTTGTTTCTTCCGTTTCCCTCTCCGTGGGATTAAAAGAAAAATTGCTTCGTGTAGCTTTTACCTTGTTTTTAGTTGCAAATGGCGGGAACACACAGTTTTTTATACTTTTATGGAGAAGGAAAGCATTTTGTAAATGTGTCATTGTAATTTGTATTTAGTATGTTGGTTAAAACTGAGCTATACTTTTTCCCGTCATCCCGAGGTATCATGGTTATATTAGAGGTTGATGTAACAACCAGTTTTTGTTCAACGGTACCCAGCCAGTCTAGTGATTAGTGACACTCACGACTGTTGCCAATGGGCCCGAATCCCGAACAAGGGATGGATGTTTGTATCGGTACAATGTTCTTTCGACATGGGACACTAAAAATACATGGCAAGTCGAGAATTTGGTGGTAGGGAAAAGGGGTAGGATATCCGTTGACCGCCCCTGCCCGCTGCATAGTTAATGCAGTAGAACGACACCTGTACAATCTACGGTGAAATTCATACGTCTCGCCCTGTACTGTTTGTATATTGGTTAGAGGCGCTGACTACCTTATCTGTGGGCACGATTTCGAATGGCATGAATGTTATATAGTGTCTCTGCTGCGTCAAAGGGGCACGCAAAATAAATGGTGAGTCGAAAGACTTCTCGAGTGTTTTGTGGTAGGCGCAAAGCGGCGGGCGATCCTCGGAATGCCCCACGCCTGGGTGTCTTCATCAAAACTAGGGCGAAACTTAAACGGCCATTCAGAGACCGGAGTTTATCTGAGCTAACGGAGTCGGTTTCACGGGTCGACTCGCTCCACTAAACCTGTAGTTCAGATTTTTCAACTCGCTGCCCTATGGAGGGACGACTGGTTTTGGATATGGGTCGAAGCGATGCCTGGCGATACTTAATCTCACCGAAAATGCACAGGTACCAGCCTTGCGTCAACTTTCACCTGTATTACATAAAGCGCCACTCAGACTGTATATTGTTGTAACTATGGCCTCTGATTCGAATCCAGAGAAGGAATGGAAGTTTGTTAGTGTATAATGGTTATACAGCATAGGAGCACTCAAAATACTAGGCGTTCCAGAAGTCCTCTGGAGTGGTGGTCGGGTGACCATCGGCCTTCCCTTGAAGGATTCTCTCGTTCAAAATTGCGGTGGGACTGCTTCACTAGTGATGAGATTTTAGTATGCTTCCACCTGTACCTGCGTTACATATGTAGGAAAAAAAAAATCTGATTCGCGTATTATGCCTTAAATTGTTGAAGTGAAAAATTAAAAACATACCTTTGTATTTTATAATCAGTTTTTTAAGCTGCGAAAATTATTTTTAATGTAAATATTTTGATTTGACGATAATATATTTTAGTTTATCCACTTGAAAATCGGCATTTTACAAGTTATCATATCAGCTCCACTTAATGTCGGCCTTTCACAAGTTATCAATCTGTGTAAATATCATTGAAGTATCTTAGAATGCTGCTCATAGTCGCAATTTAAAGAAGGTACTGGAGATTTAACTTGGAGTGGTACAGCATTTTTCGTTGCTAATTTTCACCTGCTGTAGACGAGGAACTTTGGAATTCTGAATTGAAGGTGCACTTTCATGTAAGCTCAACCTGAATATTTCAACAATCTAAGATCCGACTACCAGGAGCCCTCTGAAATATGGATGCTATATATCTATCATTCTTATTTCAACTATGCTTGCAGGTGTGAGGTAATTGTTTTCGTGTTTTTTTTTTTTTTTTTTTTTTGTAAAGATGTATATCTTTTTATCGCGATTCCACTGTTTCGAGTCGGTGGAGGCTTATGACTGAGATAAGATAACCGTTGTATTGCTTTCCTCCGTGAAATTATTCGAGTTTGACCTTAATTTAGTGACTGAATTGTTTTAATTAAAAATAAAATGGTGTTATAAATCTACGGGTTCGCAAAAGCAGATTGTATAATTTTCATCGCTAAAATAAATAAACGCCTAAACAGCTTTGCTTTATCACACGTACAGTTAACTGCTGCTTAACTGGACCGTGCCTTTGCTTATTTATTTGAAAAAAGGTTGTTTACTGCCGAATGATGAAAATATAACAAACCATCGGCGTTAAAAAGAAAGATGTGTGGAATAACAACAGTGATAGCAAATGATGGCATAGTATTTCTGTCCACTACATAATTTAATGGTATGTAATTCGTCAGTCTATAAATGTTGATAAAAGTAAATCACTCACTCGTAAGAATAAATGCACGACCGTTAATTTCTGTTTCACATTAACTCCTGTCAAAGTACGAGAGTATTTTCTTTGTTGTAAGATTAGTCCAAAGGGGCAATTTGCCCAGAAGGACTTTAATTTCGTTTTGGCATTTTGCGTTGAAATGTCGATTCACTTTTCAAATTGTTGCCACCAAATGTAATCGCCATTTGAAGAAATTAAATAATGAAGAATCTGTATAAATGTATCTACGTTTCTCGCACTGTGATAAAACAACGGTTCCTAGAGCCATCCAATTTTGAATAACGTGATCCTTCACCGAATATGGGCATCTGGAAGTCCTAATTTGGAATTTGTTTTATTATCTATTTCATATTTTGTCACACATTAAAGGATTTTTTGATTAACAAACTCAACGATTTCAAAGCGAGGAATGGCAACACTGTACGGTGGGGGGATTATCTCCAGTGCGTGGTTCTGCGTATCGGAAATTCAAAAGATATGCTTATTTTGCAATTATTTTGCGATATTGCTGTTGAACTGAATTTTTTTTGAGTTTAAGTATAAAGAACATGATATTTAATAAATAAAGAAACCACACAAAACGTTAAAAAAGTCCTTTTGGGCGTAATGCAAAATCCGAAATACCGTTCAGCCGCTGGTAAGCTTCATTTAGAATCCTGATTTAATTTATCTAATGCACTAGTTCTCCAGATTAATTTGGTTGAAAATACAGGGAAATCATTGGTTAATGTAAGGAGTCCTATGAATAAAAAATGTATTGAAGGAAATTAACTTTCAATAAATACAAGTTTGAATGTGCTTAAATAATGCATAATGATTTCGGAAAACTTTTAATAGCCCTATCTATGCCTTTTTTTTTTTTTAAAGTAAATCAAACTAAGATGCAGTTGTGATATTTTCACTTTCTTGTGCTAAGCAAAGCAAGTATTCTAATTCGCAAATTTCGGTCATCCTGTTTCGATGTAAATATCCATTTTGACTATTTTCTTGCCAGACGTCTGTACGTACGGACAGAATAAAGGACTCTGTTTCCAAAACGGATTTTTTTCGTGACAGACGGGGCAAAAGACGTGAGATATACGTACGTACGTATGCATCTCGCGAAACTCAAAAACGATTAGCCGTAGAATGTTGAAATTTTGCGTATGGTACTGCTATAACATATAGTTGAGCACATTCCTTTTTTATTTCAATCAGCTGTACAAAAAGTACCCATTTCCAGTTACAGAAGGGTTTTAAATGAAGTAATAATAAAATCTAAAAGGTTTCAGATTTTTAATAACTTCCCAAGGGTCCTTTTCTAACATTTTGTTTGCTACCTTTATTTATTAAATATCATGTTCTTCGCTCTTAAACCGTAAAATTCAATTCAAGAGCAATATCGCAAAATAATTTTAAATTAGAATTTCCGATATAGTCTCACGCGCTGGAATGTTTTTGTCTGTACAACGTTGTCATCGCTCGCTTTAAAATACTTGAGTTTGTTAATAAAAAGTACGATAAAGGTTTTGCAAAATAGGAAATCGATAATAAAACAAATTCCAAATTTGAGTTTCCGGATGCCTATATTCGCAGTAGGATTCATTTAAAATTGGATGGCTCTAGTACCGTAGTTTTATCACAGTCGAGAAACAGATACATTTATGCAGATTCTTTATTATTTAATTTCTTCAAATATAATACAGGGCGATAATATTTGGTGGCAACAGTTCGAAAAGTGAAATGGACATTCAGCGTGATTCGACGCAAAATCGTAAAACAAAAACAATAGTCCCTCAGGGACAAAGTCCCTTTGGACTAAAAATAATATTAATTTGGGCGAATGTAGAAATCTTAACTTTTAATGTGGTCTCCCGATTCCTCTACTTATAATTGGGAAAGTTTTCCACTCATTATGAAAAATGAAAATTTTAAAACGTTTGTCTCCTGTACGGCAAAAATTGACCTGGATATTTAATTTCAAAATGTGTAATTTTTTGTCATTTTCTACTTGCCTGGAGGGATTGGTTAAGTTAGAATTATTTGAAGAAATAAGTTTAAAACAAATAAGTTAAGAAAAAAATAAGTTTATAACAAAAAACGTATTTAATTTTGTAGGCCGTAGAAGAAAATCATGTGGTGCCCACATCATGTTTTTATTTAACAGAATTCTCAAGCTTTGCATCGGAGGAAAATATCCTTGCTTTGTGTCGAAAGCATAGTGTTTCAGTTATTTCTGTGAATTAACACGAGTTTCGTGATCAGAATTGCCCGAACAAGATGTCATTCAACCGTCGGAAATTACGTAGTGAATCATGATTTAAAAGAAACGGATGGAGGAAAAATTCTTTCTCATTGTCGGTGGAAATTCATCCTGGCGCCAAACTTGGCGACGGTTTGAAAATTGTTTATTTTGTATTTGCCCTTCCTGAGGGCAAATGCTAACATCTGTATCACTATGTACACATTTTCTGTATTCTCCAGTTTCCGTAAGTATACAAAATATTAGAGTTGTCTCCGTCTTCATATGTGCTTTGTGCTATACATCAGCTGTCCGTAAAATTCTCGTGTATGTCAAACTGTTTTACTGCTTTAGAATATAATTAGAGGTCTACGAATTTAAATCTGTCTTTTAGTTTATATAAATTATAATTTATATTAAAGAAACAACCGCAGAGTATTTCTATCCATTTTTCTTAATTTCCGTTAACGAAGATCCAATAAAATGTCTGGCGCATTCATCTAATTCCCAACTAAGCAGTTCTATTTTGAGGCACTCAACCACGTCATTAGGAAGGTTTTTGGAGTACTTGGGTAGAATGTTTTTAGGATGTTACGCATTTGCGGTTTAGTTCGATATGTTGCATACATGTTTACAAATATTAAGAATCTGTGTTGGATTTTTCTAATTCTGTTAATGGGTAAGTTTTGTTATCATATTAGATAATATTTTAAAGAATTCGTTGGCGGGAATAATATATTGGTGGGCCTTTTTCTTGCATAATTTTCAGAATGCCACCAATTTCGAAACAAAATAGTAATTTCTTTGTGTACATTTTACACCCAAAAGCAAAGCATCATTTTTGGATCTAATTAATAGTGCAGCTATAACCATGGAAGTGTTAAATTTCAGCAATAAAAAATAAGTTAGATTTTTACTAAAAATAAGTTAATCTATAAACAAGATGATAAAAAGTTTTATTTTTTAAATTTTCTATATATTAGTAACAAGACACACGGTTTTGTAAAAAAACTTCACATAAATAATTATTATCAGATCAGTTTTTTAAAGCAAATGTTAGCTTAGATAAATGAAGCTGTAATTTTTTGAGATTATAAAGCAAAATTACAGGTGGCTTCGAAATACTCGTGGTTTGAACCTGATTTCACTTCTGGGCGTAGTACGGCCAAGTTGTACTACGTTTTCATGCTTTTCTCGTATATATATATATATTAGGGTTGAGTTTCCTAAACAGTGTCCAGAAAAGCGTTCTTATGTTAGAGTTAGTCGCGCGATCTACATGCATAAGTTATTCTTAAAAAAAGGGGGGTTGATTCCTGGAAATAATATAATATGACCATAATATAACTAATAACAATCGATAATTAAAAAATAAACTGTAATTGTATATATGATGATACAATAAGAGAGGAGAAAAAAAGTATTTCAGAACTTTTTGCGACATACCGGAAATTGTCCTTCTTCGAGAACCGTGACCTCAAAACTTTGTTTCTTCTTGGTTGAACAATTTTACATGCAAAATTCAAAAATATGTTTAGACATATAAATAAAAATTTCATAAATATTGCTTGTAAATGATAAGTCGCGCTTTCCTAGAATTATATTTAGCCGGGTTAGAGAAATTGGTCATATGCCCGGATGAGGAAAAAATAAAGCTGTCATGTTATAGCTTGAGTAAAGATGATCTTGAAAAAGATTGTGTAACCGTTTTCCTCCGGGCTAAACAACTTGTGTGCGCCAGCGGCCTTGGCATTTTGTACACACAAGCTGAAGTGCCAAACATTTTCCGGAGTTTGTGTGCACCCACCTCCGTTTAATTCTGCAGCTGCCGATTCTAATGGGTATCACAAAAAGCGAAAACTGTGCTTTTTCTAAGATAGAATTGTATTAAGGGAGCCGAGAGCACCTTCGCGCGGTATAATTGTAAGGACACCGACCTTTTCTCTTTGCAGTGAAGTTTGGAATTTAGTATTTTTGATATTATAGATTTCTGCATGCATGAGTCACTTTTCAAACTCTTAGTTCTTCAAATGGGAAATGTTTATGTACATGTCGTCTTCTCAAACGTAAAATGAGACTGAAGACTGATTTAATATTAAAAATTGCTGAGAACATTTATATGAAGAAATGCATGCTATCCTTAAATAAATAATTGTTTAAATTTATATCTATGTACCCTTAATTTCAATAAAATGAATAATTTAAAAGTAAGTCAGAGAAATTTCAAAATTTGACTTGAAGTAACCGTTCTTGAGAAAAGTATGTATAGATTAAAGATTAAATCACAAGATTTAAATTGAGATTAATAAAATTATTATGAGATTCAAATTGAGGTTATTTAAGGTACCTCATTTTACCAATTTAGAAGTTCTATTGAGGTGTAATAAAATGAGTATGGCAATATATATTTTATATCTTTATTTATTCTGTATTTCAATCAAATGTGAATTGATTCATGAATAGTAATTTTTATTTCATTTTATTATTATTAAAGATTTAACTTTAATACTAAAAGTAAATTGTAGTGGTCTTATGAAGTCAAAGTTTAGTACAACATAAATTTTATATATATTAAGACTGAGTATTTTTCAGCAATGGTGTTTCTTCATTGAAAACAGGAATGTGTTGAATATTTTTTCCCCTGAAAAGAAGACACTCCATTTCTTTTTACATGCATTTACTCATCTCATTTAAAATTATTATCAAAAGTCGTGTTGCCATTTAGAAAAACTGAAGTTGAATTGCCTTAGTACGTAATTGTGAATTCAAGTTGCAGTCTGATTCAGATTTAATGGTTTGCTTTGCCTCAGCCTGCAATGTAAATGGGGGGGGGGAAGTATTATTTTTGCTATGAATTTGTTAAAATATAAAAACACTGCACAATTGGTTAGTACAAACAAAGGTTTTTAGCACTTAATAGCTAACTACCATTTTGAAAATCAAGTATTTGTGGATTAGAAATACTTTTTGTACTCTCTGATAGCTATTAAATTATATATATATTGCTCTTGCTAGATGTATGACCACATATTGTTCCAATTTGTCCTCTCTAGATATATTTGAAGTTTGTTAAAATTCACTGTATACATACACATTCATATATATAAAGAACAATGCAATAATTCAGTCTTAAATGCTAGTTTACTGGAACAGCAAATTAAAATACTGTAGAGCAATAAAATGCATTAGAGTAATACAAGAGCAGTAAAATTAGATTGAACTATTTGAATACAGCATGTCTGAAGGGAGGGATGCCTTCATGGAGGACTTTCCAAGGGAACTTGGCTCATACTCATGTCACACATAAGAAAAACCATCCGTTCAGCCAGCCCGCTTGCCTGGGAATGAACCCAGATTGAACTTTCAGTATTCAGCTGTCTTAGCTACTTGACTACTGTTGGGGCAAAGTATTGTAGAGCAATACAAGAATATATAAAATATAGATTACTCAGAACTTGGTGCATTCAGTTTTTAACTATTGCATTTATAATTTAAATCAAAAAGACACGTATGCAACTCAATAATCCAGTGCTGATGGGAAACAATGTCATTGGCAAATTACATTTTGATCATGTAAACAAAAAATATGTAAAATTCAAATAAATAGTTCTGGAAAATGTTTGGTTTATTGAGATTACGGCAAAGCAGACTAGGGCTATCTGCCTAAGGGGACAGATGACTTTGTGGAGGACTTTCTAAGAGAACTGGCTGTTATACTTGGGGGAAAACGACAAAAACTCTCATGCAGGCAGCATGCCATTCGCAGGATACGAAGCTTGGAATGAACTACCCGTGTTCAGTGACTGTACCGCTTGGCCGCTAGTGGTCCTTCTAGAAAATGTATAAATTTCAAATTGTCTATTAAGCAGTTCGTCGGGAGGAGGGAGGAATGCATCATGTATGGTCAACATGTTCCAGTCATAGTTCTGAATGTACAATAAAAACCTTTAGGAATATTAGAAAGATGGTCTCTCCTCCTCCTGACGAGATAATGCACGATAGCTAATTTCTTATTCATATTTTAATATAATTCTATATTTATACTCAAATTTTGCATATTGTTTATTCTGTTCACTTGATCAGCAACAGTTGATGCTTACTGCTCTTCTAACAATGTTACATTATTATTTAGATTTCCCCCTTAAAACCTTAAAATTATTGCATTTTATCCCCCTCCCTTTTTGACTTCATCTAGCAGTATTATTTAATTATAAGTAAAACTTTAAATAATTTGTTATATTATTTATGATTTTCTAAAATTATACATATATTTCAGATCTCTTCTGTTGTGTCTTCCCACTTGATGGAGTTCGTGGTAGTTTACAAAGGTGAATATTGCCAAGCACAACACAAATAAATTGAAAATTGGGTATCTTCCGGAATTGTGCCATTTATTTTTTTACTTCTCGACAAGTCATTGTTGAAGACAATTCCAGAAAAGGTGCTTTCTCAGTATAAATAGCAAAGTTAAAGATTGAAAGAGGATTCCTTGTTTTTTTATCGTTTTAATTAACGGAATGACAATGAAGCAAAAACTTATGCGACCAGGGCCGTCTGAGATTGTCTACAAGAATATGAAATTTCTCATAATGGATCGTCCCACCGATGCAACTATAGCTACATTTATTGAGGTAATTTTCATGTTTTTAGTAAATTAAAACTTCCTTCCTTTGAAGCAGCTTTCGACAATAAGTGAAAGCTATTTTAAAATTTTTACCAGTGCAGTTTTATTTAAAATGACTCTGATGTGATTTAATTTTTACTTCTCCAGTAAAAAATAAAGATTTCCCCCTTAACACTTTTACATGAAAGTTACAATGAAAAATTTTCTAGTAAAATAATATTCAATTTAAAAATATGTGTTTAAAGTATTTTCTATAGCTTTCTTATGAAAACTGTGATTTATTTAATAATATATTCTTAAAGGAATTGCTTATCAGCAGCTGTATTTAAGAAGTAGTGGCTTAAGATCATACTAAGTGAAAAATTAAAAATTTTCTTGTATAAAATATTTTTAATACCTTTAATTTTTTGTATTTTACCTTGAAGTTTTTAGCTGTCCCAATTTAAGTTACAGTCTGTTATAGTATTGCAGTCTAAAATAATTTCCAAGTTTTTTTCTAAAAAAATTGAACACCAGTTTCAAAGTACTTGAAAAGTACAGTCTTTACCAACATAGAAAAATATGATACTTTCTGATACCCACACGTCTGTTTTAACATTCAGTAGAATTTCTCCATTTTTGGCATATTATTTGGTGTATGTGTGACAATAGCTGACGTAAACGTGCAGATACTAATATTTTAAGTAAATGCAATTTTACAGGCTTTATATTTAACCATCATTTTGATGATTAGTTTTCTTATACACCAAATTGATTTCCCCTCTCCCATTACAAAATTTCTATATTTCTAATAAAATGTTTCTTTTTTATTAGTATTTATGAACATATCATTACCTATGAGCCATAAAGATAACCAAATGAGCATTTTTACCAATTCACAAATTTATCAGCGAATTGCCAACTATTTGCTGGAAAGTAGGAAAATAATAATCAACACCTTTTATTTCTATTGTTTTCTCTTATCTTCGTTAAAGATGACCCCTGAGAAATTTAACGAATAGGTGGATATTTATGAAAATGCAGATAAAACATGAATCAGCTGGTGTAGAAGCATTAACTGGGTACTCTTCTGTTGTCGGGACCAGATTCAGAAAATATAGGTAATATGCGTGTGTGTATGCATACGTTTCTGAATCCTTCCCCAATAACAGAAGAGTACCCATAATTGTATCATAAATGATTATGAAAAGGATTGGATTATATTATTAATTAAGTAAAGCATATTGATTGAGATGCTTTGAAGAATTTTTTAAGGGAAACTGACTCATATTCTCATTGCACATGGAGAAGATGCACATATCTTAACGAAATTATGATGAATATATTGGCTTTCTGAAGGATACATGTTGATATCATCAGAGCGAATGCATATCAAAATGTTTTAAAATCAGTATTTCATTAGAATAATTTAGATTTAAAGGTTTCTTAGTGTGCTAAGTGTGATTTTGTCATATGAGAAATTGATATTAAACTTGTGGAATTATTTTTCACAAAAATGTTTCTGGTATTTGGCAAGATTAATTTTAAGATTACTTTAGTATGAAACTGATTATTGCATTTAGAATTTATTACTTGTTGTATAATATTACTTTTGGTGTGAAATTTTGACTTGAATTTTTTTTTTAATGTTCTCCTCCCCCCTAGGAATTAAAAAAGAAAAATGTAAAAGAAGTTGTAAGAGTTTGTGAACCCACTTATAAAACAGATGCTCTGGAAAAGCATGGAATTAAAGTTCTGGTAAGTATGCCAATTTCTTAATCAGTTTATGGCATTTCCCTTTTAAAATTTTTCAGAAATTTATACTTGTCAGAAAAGTTTCATTTTTAAATTATTTTTTTTAATCATATATCTTCCTAAAACTAATCAAGTACAAAATTATGACACTTTCAAATTCTAGCCATTGAATTTGAGGAAGATATACAATTATACCCGTGAATCTGCGGTTTACAGTGAAGTAAACTGTACTTTGAATCCCATGGTTCAAACCGCGGAGAACCGATTGATTGGCTGAATGGGTATTTTTGTGGTTTTCTGTATGTGCATTGTGTGTGCAAGCTAGTTTCCCTAAGAAAGTCCTCCATGAAGGAATCCCTCCTATTATTGCCCAACTGCAAAATGCAGTTTAAACCTGAATCAACTGATGTAGAGGCATAACTGGTTACTCTTATGTTTTCAGATAGCCCTTGATATATTCAAATAAACTAAACCACAGAGGAAGTAACAAAAATTGCAAAAATAGAATATCTTAACAAATCGTCGAGCAGAACAGGAAAACATGCCGACATTACAGTAAATGAAGTGAACCTATACTGTTTACACCACACAGGCAATGTTGGAAATTATTAGTCTGCCTTAGTGGTTCCTAACCCTATTGCTCTATGCACCTCCTCTCACCACTGCTAGAAGATAATACCTCCTTTTACAAACTCAATATATATATATGTATATATAAGGTAAAAAATGTGTGAATCAACTTTACAATTTAATTTAATAATAGCCTCTTAGTTCCTCATTTTTAATTTGGGCATTTCCTCTCTATTCTAAAACTAATAATAATTTTTCTGGATTGTGTCATTTCTAGGTGAATCTATGTCACATGGCTTGCATAATGCTGATTATGTACTAATTCAGAACCTAAACTCAAAAGTTCGAGAACTGAAATCTTTCAAACCTAAACCAAAACCTTCTTTTGACGACTTCCCGATTGGAATAATTATGCACTTTAGCTTCTGCTTCTCTACTTTTAATGACATTTTTTCACTGTGCTCACTGCCCCCAATTGTAAATGCTCTTGAATAGGTATGATTAGAGTGGCAAGTAAATTGTGCCCACAAATGTTAATTGAAATAAAAATGAATATTTAATATTACTTGGCTGCCAAGTTGCCTATTCATTATGGAATCAACATTTTAACATACCACACAATCAGAATTCTTTCTCATCAGTATGGATCTACATTTTAAGATATCTACATGCTAACATTACTACGTCCCTTTTTTCATTTTTATTACAGATATACATTTATTTAGATTAAAAGTAATTTTTGGTATTTATACACTGAAACTAAATAATTAACAGCTACATTAGCCCCTTTTAGTTTATCCATGTATAAGGAAAGCTTTGCGGTCAGAAGTGTAATTTACTGTACATTTATTATCTAACATAGTGTATCATTTTGTGAATATATATTTATATTGTAAATATAAAGTTTTCAGCTGTGGATAGTCCTTTGCCTTTCTGAAAAATTATGTCTCATGATTTCAATAATGTTGGAGTTTCTTAAAATTAGTGCTTAATTAGTGATCTAGAACAAATAAAATAAAATCTTGCTGTTTTTTCAACCAGTTCTTAACACATTGACTGCCATGGGGGGGTCACCGGTGGCTGGCACTCGACGTGGTTACAGCACCGTGGGTGCCATCGCTGACACGACCAATAGTAAAATACATAGAGTAAATATCGATACTGATAAATTTTAAAATAGTACCATTGTTACTATAATGGTTTGAAAAATAATAAATCGTAAAAATTTTAATTATAAATCGCAGTAATGGTCTACAGAGCGGTGACCGTCACACGAAAAATGCATTAAGCACAATATAACTCGCATCATCTTCTGTAGATATTTCAACATAATATAAATTGCATAATAAAAATTTCAAGTTGTCGTTATGGGCTAACCACCACAAAATGCCCACCGCAGTCGATGTAATCAAGCCAAAAGTGTTACAGCTGTCATTATGTTTGACGAGTGGTCATGACATAAGAATTAGGCACTTGAATGAGATCTGTATTTTTTTAATGTTATGCATTTTTTAGTAGAATTGTATGAATAAATTTTGATATTGATGTAGAGTGTAAATCCATCACTTTTAGTTAAATTGTTTGTTTCTTAGATGGCACCATATAAATGCTGTTTTAAAATTCAGACATGCCTTAAAATGACATCAGACTAAAAAAATAACTAACTAAAAGCAATAGATCCCATCTACATGATTATCAAATTTTTTGTGTAAGGTTTATAAATTCTAAATTGCATTTATTTACAGGATTGGCAGTTTGATGATGGTTCCCCACCTCCAGCAAAAATTGTAAATGATTGGTTTGATCTTCTTCGACGGAGATTTAAGGAGGATTCGGACTGTTACATTGCTGTGCATTGTGTTGCAGGCTTGGGACGGTATGAAAATTTAAATAAATTTTATATATTTGTTTTATATTTAAGAATATATTAAGTCTATATAATTTCAGTTTATACATAAATTTTATAATGTTTTTAGTAATTGCATTGTAGTTAATGCCTAAAATTATTCTTTTTAAATTATTCACTTCTGTTTCGAAAGATTCAAAATTGTAATTTATTTATTGAAAAATATACAAATATAATCAGATTTGCGCAGTTCAGACTTGCATATATTAAGAATAGGTATATTTTTAATACTTTTCTTACTGTATTTTGTTGTCAAAATATAACTATATGGGAGTAAAAGAAAAACTGAGTATTTTGGTCTAGCTTTTATAGCATAAAATGTGAAGTTTTTAGCCATAAATTTTAATTTATATATATTCATGTTTTAGGGCTCCTGTTCTTGTAGCAATTGCACTGATCGAATTAGGAATGAAGTATGAAGATGCAGTGGAATTGATTAGGCAGTAAGTTTTACCAAGCATTTCTTTCTTAGATATAATGACAGACTTATTTCCTGGCTTTTTTCACATTTATCAAATACTTTACTGTTTTTAATCACTGTAGTTCTTATAATGGCTCAAAATATATATATTTGATAAATATGACTTCTTAAAATAAATTTTGAGCTAAATACATGAAATGTGTCCAGAGTTCTAGGAATTTAGCTCTTCTTGAATTCTAAAACTTATAGACAAATGCTATAAGGCCAGACACAGGTTTCTGGCATGCTTAGGCAGTGCAATATTGTTTTAGTTCAATTCAATTGTTTATCTGATACAAGTGCATTTTTGTAGTTTTTATTGGGATAAATCTATTCAATTGATTGGAGATTATATAAAAAAACTTCAATGTAATATTGATAAAATTTTTTAAAAAAATCTACCTGAATTCTAAGACTTCGGAAGCATCTTTATATACCTTATCAAATTGGCTTATTTAGGCTTCATTTGGAAGGTCATTGAGATTGTTGGTTGGTTAAAGCAAAGCACATGATTACTGTCTGCTTTGAAAGCATAGGGATGTGAAATATGTATTGTATTTTGAACATTGTTTGAATTACAGGCAGTTAACCTGTCTGGGATAGTTTTACAATTCAATAATTTATTTAAATAATTTTTAAAATGCTAGCCTATTCCTTGCCATTTGCAGATCTCCATGTGGGGAATCTTCCATAAGCACCCAGTTGGTAAGGTTCTGTGTAGTTTATAGTATGAGATGTTTACTTGAATTTAAATTCACCCTGGGGATTTTAGTGTATCCCCCCTACCCTGAATAAGTATAATGGATGATTAATTTGATATATAGAGGTATCTGTAAAAAGTGCATGATTTCTAGTACTAATTAGTGTTTTGGGGCTGAGGTTAAAATGATCTGGTAAAAGTGTCATTTGTAAAAGACATCAGACTGTAAATTCTGCTGCAATTGAAATAAATAAGAGTAGGCTTTGTTTCATTTTTTCTTAATCTCTCTCTTCCCATTTTTGAATTTTCTTTGCTTAAATAATCGGACATTTCTCTAACATTACGAGCATTTTTTCTTGGACGAGATAATGTATCAGTAAGATATATTTCTTGCATCAATGAAACTTCTGGGAAATTTCAGTGCTTTTTAATTATTATTATTAAAACTCATTTATTGTGTTGACATTTTGCGGGGTCTCCTAGCTTTGTTGGGCTTTTCAGTAAAAACTGTTTGCCTTCACTCACAATCTAGCTGAATTATTATTACTCTCAGATGTAATATCAGACTCAAATTCTGTGCAATTCTGTGTCGAAAATTTCATCATTTTAATGCTTAGTGTGTTGAAAATTTCTGAGCAAAGTTTGTAGACATTTATTTTGTTTGTAGCTCAAATACTGAGATCACTTCCTCTTGTAACCTCCTGATTCATTGTGTAGATATTAACTTGAGAAGCATGTGTATAGTATGCAGCACTCTGGGAAGCCATATTATACTTAATGAGGAAAAGAAGTTTTTCTTTTTAAATAAGAACATTCTCTTTTAAAAGGTTCTTCATCGATACAGACTGCTTTTTCGGCAGATAATTGTCTAGTGTCCCTATATTTTTATTCAACTAAACTTTATTTATATATTGTTTATTATTAGAAAAAGTTTTTCATATATTATCTCAAAGGAACAGAAATTCAATTAAAGCCATGAAAAATTTTTTAATCAGTATTCTAATTAGTGTTGTAATAATCAGTGTATAGTCCACTATTGCAGTAAAAGCCTTTTAAAATCTGTAAAGAAAAATATTGACTTGCCAAAATACCAAATTCAAAAGTAGGTTTGAAGTACTAAAAAAGTAGTTAATGTCATTGATTGCAGATTGTCTTGTCAAGGGGAACAAACCAGTCTACTATCAATCAGTAATAACACAATTAAGTGAGAGTGTTTCATCTTTTTCCCCCAAGTAAGGACTAAATTATTATTTTGTAAGAGCTAGATCATAAGTCATGAACAATACTAAATTAATAGAAAGAATCAAAATCGTAATAACAACCTTGTATTTGGCGTACATATATTAAAACACTCAATCGATTTCGAGGTTAGCTAAAGGTCCCACCTCATCAGGAGAACGAAATTACTAGAAAGGGAAAAAAGAAAAAGCATTGCCAAAGGAGTCTCAAACACATGGTCATTAACAGCACTGCACATGGTCGTAACCGTATTTTGAATCAGAGTTACACTGGCTGCCTACTTTTACTGAGACAGGCTATCTGATCAAACATATAACAGACTAAAACGGTGGGGGAGGGGGGGGATCTGAAGTAAAAAAAAATGGGGAGCAAAGGGCAACTGCATTTTCATGCACCAAATCTAAACCTCGAATAAAGGGAAAGTAACCTCTGTAACGGCAAAAATAATAACCAAGAATTATGATAATAGAATTTTACAGGCATTAGGAAGGACTGGATTGGACTTAAAATCATTCACTAAACATGTTAAATCCTTGTGAATATGAAAAGCCTCAAGAAAATCCAATTCACCAATGGAAGAAGCCTTTTGGATAATTTTTGCAGATCCAAAGTCAAAATTATGATTAAATTTCCAACTATGATACGCTATTGAAGGACTTGTTAATTTCACCTTTTCGACGATTATTATTATTGGTTTTTGTTTTAATCTATGTGTTACATGTTTGATCAGATAGCCTTGCTCAGTAAAAGTAGGCGGCCAGTGTAACTCTGATTCAAAATCCGGTTACGACCACGTGTTTCTGAGACTCCTTTGCCAATGCTTTTTCTTTTTCCCCTTTCTAGTAATTTTGTTCTCCTGATGAGGAGGTACCATTAGCTGCCCTTGAAATCGATTGAGTGTTTTAATATATGTACGCTAAATACAAGGTTGTTATTGCGATTTTGATTGTTGCACTGGCGTGTTTCTCTTCTATTCTAATTGAAAGAAATTAGTCCATTTATGCTAAAAGACCTGTCGTAAACTAAATAAAAATAAGTTGTATATTTTTTTCAATATAAGTTACTTGTTAGGAACATAACTAAATGAGATCCTTACTTTAAAAAAATATACTCTAAATCAAAAGTAAAAACAAAAGTTATACATTTTTAATATTAAAATTCAAAAGATCAAAATTTACATAATCTTTTAAATTAAAAGTTTAATTTTATTTATAAGTAATTCAAAAAGCCAAAGACTTGTGCTAAAACTGCCAAGTAATAAATCAATAATTTATTATTAGAAAAGGTTTTTCATATATCATCTCCAAGGAAGAGAAATTTAATTAAAGCAATGAATTATTGGCATAAATTTTAGTCATTATATCTAAGTTATATTAAAACTGTGGTCAACAACAATAGCTACATTTTTAGTACTTTAAATTTCACTTTTTGGAATTTTTACGGTTCAAAATATTTCTTTACACATTTTTTTTTTTTTTTTTTTTTTACTACAGTAGAAATTTAAATAATTTATACTTAAATTATTCTAATTTCTTTTTAAAAATTTAGTTTCATAATTTGCTTTGATTTTAGGAAACGGCGTGGAGCCATAAATGCTAAACAGCTTGCTTATTTGCAAAAATACCGTCCTAAATCCCGATTGAAGGCTCATAATGGTTTCAAGCAATGTTGTATTCAGTGAAGAATCACATTTTGTGATCTCCTTTTTATAGCATTCAGATGCAAATATGTATTTGAATAGTGATCAACTTGCTACATATCCTTTGTCTTGGTTCCTCCAGTATTTCAAAATGTGGTGCTGGTGTTGATTTCATTAAGGTTTCTTTTCTGTATATATTGAAAGCTGCACTATTTATTCTTAATTAACTTTCTTTATATGCACTATGAAGAGTTAACTCATTTATTGATAAATTTAAGCCCGACTTATTATTTATGTACAAAAAATGTCCCCCCTTCCTGTTCTTGTGAAATATTTAAAACAAAAAAAGCTGTTTATGCTTGATGGTTAGATTTAACTGAAATGTTTTATGATCGTATCTTCGGTAAGATTAGATATGTGTATTGCTGTCTGTCTGAATTTGTTGATGTGAATTTTTAATTTAATGAAATTGAAAGAGTATGTTTTAATTTTGAATTGATATCTGCTATTGATTTTTTAATTCACTAAAATTCTTATATGAATTTAAACAGTTTGTTGCAGACTAATTTAAGAAATCACTATTGTATACATATTCATGCCAATTTATTTGACTTTTGTTTCTATAAGTTTTGTAAAAATAGAACAATATGTATATCTGTTTCAGTGTAAAAGAAATTGGATGTGACATATTTTTATGACTAACAATATTGTACAAATTAAAGGAAAGGAATTTCCTACAGAGAACTTTTATTGATTTTAATAAAGTTTCATTAAATGTGTAAATCTTTGTTTTGATGTGGAAAATATTAAATCCAGGGGCATTTAAATATTCATGTGAAATGTTATTAAAATTAGAAAAGATGCACATCAGTATGAAATGCAAAATTAGCTTAGATTATTTTGTTTTTAAAAATTTACAGGCATTATTGTTCTTCAAAATTAATGACTTTCACAAATAACATATGCGTTGGTAAAAGTGATTCTGAATACAAATTGAATAAGTTAAAAAACTGGGTACTACTTCTCATTGAAAAAGACAGGTAGCTTTTACAGTATAGTGTTGGAGATTCAAACTTGTTGGGACTTCGATTCCGAATTTGAGAATTTTTTGAATCTTTATATCAACAGTTTATATCTGGTAAGGTAATAAGTAGAAATTATAAAATTTAAAATAGGAATTTATTTATGTAAAATAATGAAGCATTTATGAACTTGAGGGAATTTAGATTTACAAAAAAAGCTTGGTATTAAATTTTTCATTTCAACAAACATTTCTTTGAAGCTGCCTTTTGTGGCTGTGTGTGCAAATGTGGTTTCTTTGATTTTATTAACATGCATAAAAGTTCATTGTTCACGTCCCATATTTGCTCCAATGAGAATTGCCACTAAATTCTCAATCAAGATTTTTTCATTCTCAACAACCTTTTATTGGTAATGATATTTTTTCTTTTAAATTTAGAACCTACATTATATGAAGTCTGTTCATCTACAAATGCATAATAATGAAAGTTCTAGCTCCTAATATTCTATAGGAAAAAAAAAAAAAAAAAGTCAAAAATTATTTTCCTGTTTAAAAGTATTTTGATGAAAAATATTTGCTTCCTTACTCAGGTTTTCAACAGTACAAAATTAAATAAAAGCATGACTGTAACTATATAACTTAACCTTCTGGGTGCCATATTTTGCATTTACTTTTATTTATAATATAAATGTAAGTTTATGAAAATGGACTAAAAATAAGTAAATATACAAATTTAGCTAATAAAGCCTGTTTAAATACAGCACAGATATTTATAGTGAAGTTGGATTTAATAAAGTTTCTATTCCAGTTATATTTGTTATTAAAAAGTCATGTAATGCTGATGAATTAGATGGAGTATTTAAAAATGTGAAACTTGCATTTATTTATAATTACATTGAATTTTAATACAGTGCTGTATCCTTCTACACTGACTACCAATAAGTATTTGGACACCTGTGATAGAAAAGAAAAACTAACTTTATTCAAAATCAATAGTTGGTAGAGCCTCCACAAAAGGTAATTACACCGTGGACCCTCCGGGGCATACTTTTACAAGTCTTTGTATGAACAGCTAGTGGTATTTTCTTCCACTCGGCTTGGAGAAGACATAGAAGTTCCTTCACCGATTTTGCACGGGTAGTGCACCCCTGAATTCGGCGATGCAACTCGTCCCAGAGGTTCTCAATAGGGTTCAGGTCTGGTCTCTGGGCAGGCCAGTCCATTCGATGAACTCCGTTGGCATCATACCAATAGGGGTCCAACCCGTAAAACTGCCACAACGTAGGAAGCACATTGTCATCCAAAATAGTGCAGTAGGCATAGGAGTTGAGCTTACCATGAATGGGGACCAAGGGTCCCAGCCCATACCAGGAAAAACACTCACAGACCAAATTACACCTCCGCCAAACTTGACTGTTAGCACAATGCATGCTGGCAGGAGACGTTCTCCAGATAGACGCCAGACCCAGACCCTGCCATCTGAACGGTAAAGGGTGAACTTTGATTTGTCACTCCAAAGAACCTGTTTCCACTGATCTACGGTCCAATTTCGATGTGCTTTGCACCACATTAACCTAGCAGTGTGGTTGGACTTTGTCATCAAAGGCGTATGGGCAGCAGCACAACCATGAAAACCAAGCAGATGTGCTTCCTTACGAATGGTATTCATTGAAACAATACTCCCGGATGCCTGTTGAAACTCCTTGCGAATGAGGGCCGTCGGTTGGGTGCAGTTCTTCCGCATTTCTCTGGACAGCACTTGTCGGTCTCTATCTCCCAGTTTTGTTGGTCTGCCGACTCGGGGCACATTCCGACAATAACCGCTCACCCTACACTTCTTAATCACATAGGCCACTGTCGATTTTGGGTACTTCAGATTGCTAGATATGTCCCTTAAGGATCGGCCAAATTTGTGATACCCGATAATTATACCTTTCTCGAAATCGGAGAGCTCCGAACTGCGAGGCATCTTGCATGCGACTAAAGCCGATGCTGTTTCCTACATGATATATACCGGCGGAGTCCGTGACGTACCTTAGGACCTCAGATATCGTCATTTGCATAGGTGTCCAAATACTTATTGGTAGTCAGTGTATTACATAGAACTGAGGTTATTTAAAATAAGTACGTGAGGGCTACCTGAAGATGCTTTCATGGAGGACTTTCTAAGGGAAACTGATTTATTCACGTCACTCATGAGGAAAACCAATCATGCAGCCAGTCCATTTTCTTGGTGTCAAAGTTTCAATATTCAGTTGGTCCTAACCACTTGGAGACTGGGAGTAATTTACAAAAGTGCAACTTGATTATTTGACCATTTTACAATTTTTACTATTCTTTGTTTAATCTTCTTAATGTAAGGATAAATTTGATGGTAATATTTTGGATATTATACAGTAAATCAGTTAACATGCTCATTCACATTTATAGCACTTAAATTCTATTTCAGAATTATTTAAAAAGTTAATTTAGCTTATGAAAAAGTAAATTAGTTAAGAGATATCATTATAGTTACCATACATTCATTAAATAAGTGTCAAAAAACTAGCTATATAAAAATTAAAAAATCACATCCAAGAATAATTTGTACAATTTTTATTAAAAGCAGAGGAGCATTAAAAATATTTAACGCACAAATATGAAACGAAGCAATATTGTAAGCATAAAAATTCTTTCAAGTAAATCTAAAATATTAAAATAATAAATAAATTTTGACGCATATGAAAATTATGCTTACAAAATTGCTTGAATGTACACATTTCCAATTTTACATTGAATGAAACAAAACGTACTGACCTATAACAGTATATCAGCAAGCATTACTTCATGTGAAACGATTTAACATACACATTTTTGCGCTTAGTTGGCAACTGTCACCATATAAAAATATGGATTTAAAGTTACATTTAACTTAATTAAAAACAAATGTATTAAAATTACTGAAATGCTTTATGTATTAATAAAAGTCATTTACCTCCATTCGCTTTTCGGCCCACTTATCCATACACAAAATTGTTAAACGTTTGAAAGGAATATTTAGTTTTCTATGAATATCAAAGAAAAAAAACTTATTTCAAAAATTTGATTTGAAGCAAACTTTCATATCTACATTTTTGCAGTGTTCTTTAGTTCCATTATTCAGAAATCATCTCTAGAAATTGATACATCCATAGATGAGGTCATTTTTTTAAGCTCACAACTAAATGTTGATCAGTGTCTCATCTTTTAAGAGTCACTTCAGTTTTGTCAGTTCTAAAAATATAAGTTAATAAATTAAAAAGGCAGTGCTGAAAATTTTCAATCACTTGGCAATTGGTTAATAGTATTTCATCCCACAATGAAATTAATATCCATAGTTGAAGCAAATTCACCAAGAATGTCCAGAAACCAAATAGAAGTCTGACAATAAACCCATTTGAAATATGGCAGCCACATATGGAAAATCAGTCAAGTAAAAGGGTTGGTTCCATATTTCTTAATCTTCACAATGATCCTCATCGGAGCCTTCTGAACAGTCCCAACGACCATCACATATCTTGTACTGTGGTATGCATCTTCCAAGTTTACAGCGAATTCCATTACATTTATCTTCAAAAAATTGGCTTGTGTGTTGTTTATCTAAAAAAAAAAAAAAAAAAAAAAAAACAGTAGTTTACATTTAGTTTTCCCCAAAGGAGAATTTTATAAATTTTTTACAATTATCAGTTATCTCACCTATCAAATTTAAACTTGCTTTAATAAAAATAATAAGGACAATTAAGTAAACAAGTTTCACATTTTCATATATTTTATCTTTTTTCAATAACAGTTTCAACATTTCTGTTATACACTACCCAATAAAGCAAATGGCATATTTAATGTAATAAAAAGTAAACACTACTAGCTTACATCATTGTCTAAAAATTGAAATTGTAAACAAAGTATGATAATTTCTTATTGCAAAATAATTCTGTCATTACTTTTTAAAATCATATTCAACTGAATTTTTAGAATTCACATCTATAATAGTCTCGTCAATAGTTTCTAGAGTTGCTTTGTAGCACTGTGTATGGTAGTCTGCAATTACATAATGAACAGAAACGTGAAAATACAAGCCAATATAAAATTTTGAATTAAATTGTTCATATCATTTACAGAGACACTGAATATGCATTGGCAAGCTAATGATGATGAGGCAGTAAGTTATATGCAACATTTGAAATAGTTCTAGTGCTTCAAAGTCAGAAGAATATGCTTAAAGAAACCTATCATTAAGGCTTGTGAAAATGTAGGATGTATTCAGGATGGCATGTTGATTATCTTTTGATAATCATTCTCAACATTCCCTGGGCTATTTACAGATCTGTGCAAACAATCCTATTATCGGAACTGAACACGCCACCTGTCACTGCCAATTTTGTCTCCCGGTAGGAACATTGCTAATTAATACTTGTAAATAAGTAAAATTCATGTTAACGGATTATTTTGCATCAGACTTTTGTTAATTATATGAGAAGTGAAAGCTGTATTTCAGTTAATATTATAAATTGAATTTGAGTGCAAAATAAATGCTGATTAAAAAAACAGATCGAGTTTTTAAATTTTCAGCATTCTGAACTTTGTATTCTAAGCTTAACACGTTGACTGCCGTGGGGGTCACCAGTGACCGGCACTCGACTCGGCTACAACACTGTAGGTGCCACTGGCGACACGACCAATAGTAAAATATATAATTAGAGTAAATATCGATACTTATAAATTTTTAAATAGTACTATTGTTGCTATAATGCTTTGAAGAATAAATCTTAAAAATTTTAATTACAAATCACAATAATGGTCTACAGTGCCTTGGGGGGGGTGACATCCACCATGAAAAATGCATTAGCATGATTATATATATATAACTCACATTATCTTCTGTAGATAATATTTCAACGTAATATACATCGCATAATAAATATTTCAAGGTGGCGTCATGGGCAAGATGCGTGTGGTAGTCAACATGTTAATTTGAACTCCTGCCCCGTTCAATGAATGCTAAAAGGATGAAGGTTGAATACAAAGAATTCAATTTTATCACTGGTGGTATATCAAAGTATGCAAAACTGCTATTTCAAGGCGAATTTGTTAAAAAGTTTTGAAATTTTAGTATTAAAATTGTGGCTTTACATATTATTTAAAGTTGAACTTTGATACAGCAAGAAATAGAGATATTTGATTTTGGCTTCATGTTGATGATATGTTGTTGTAAAAATTCAGAACCAAGATATTTTGCATAGGCTGTTATTTTAAAAAATATTCCTCTATTCAAAAGGTATATCATATGCCAAAAATTTGCAATGATTGAATAGTTGTTAGAGGGTTATAGCATATTCTCTAAATGCAAGATTGCAGTTAGGAAGATGGTTAGTATATCACTATAGGATGAAATGTCAACATCCAGCATAATTAGTGTTAATTCGAGCAGAATTAAATTTAACAAACTTTTAGTAAAATTATGTTGATAAAAAAGAATTTTTAGAAACATACATGTTTTATGCAGTATCAATTTATAGCTTTGAAGTGAAAGTGAAATGTGTAATTCTGTCAAAAATTGTATTCTTTTATAATAACAAAAAATATTTTACTTGTTATAACTTCAGCGGTTGCATGTAGTACTGATTGTACATGATGGAAGTTTTCCATATCAGATTCAGATAATAGATTTGACTGTTCAAATACCTGATTAAAAGATCCATTCATCACAGCCATTTGAAAATAAATGAAAGAAGCTTATCATCCCTCATGAAATCAACAATTTCTTATTCAGAAAAGATAAGGATTTTCAGTAATCACTTGGTGTGCAATCTACCACTTTCAGTTAGTTGTTTATTTCTTAGATGTAAATTCAAACATGTGATAAAATGGTGCAAAAAAGAATTTATTCAAATAACTTAGTGCCACCATCTAAAAAATAAATAAGTAACTAAAAGCGATAGATCACATACTGCATCATTACTGATTTTCTTCAAACATGAAATTTATAATTAGAACACTAACATCTCTTTCAGATCCTGTTATGTTACTATGTCACATTCCTTAAACTGAACAACATTTTTCATAACTCACCCAATATGCTTCTTATCCAAGAAAGATATTGTGTGACTTTTGTGTAGACACCAGGCCTGTTCGGACGACCACAACCGTCCCCATTGCTTGTTACACCTAACAGCAGCCAACGACCGTCATTGCGTTGACACATCAAAGGCCCTCCTGAATCACCCTACGTGTTAAAAATAAATATTCAGATTCTACCATGTAAAAAAAAAAGCTTTTAACTAATTTAGCAGAAACTTTAACATTTTCATTTAATTCAAAGTACACGAACAAAACTCATTTCAAGACAAAATAAGAAATTTATTTACTACAAGAAACTTTTTTTTAAATAAAAAGGCATGTTCCAAAATATTATGAATATGAATTGAAATATGTTGACAAACTTACTAAGCATGCATCCCTGCCTCCTCGCTCATAACCGGCACAGAACATGTTGTCGGTGAGATGGTACATGGTGAGAAAAATAATTTTTTTTCGGCATTCTTCTGTTGAAATTACTGGCAGTCGTACTTCTTGTAAACTGTCAGCTGAAAAATAAAAGTGCATATGTGTATGTTTGAGTGCATTACAAGACACTAAAGGGGAAAAGTATACTTTTGCAATATATTTTTAAAATATGAATATATTTATTATTTAAAATTTTGAAACAAATCATCATAAATAAGAAAATTTGTTGCCAGGGTAGGCAAATAGCTATTAGATACACTTGTGCATGATGGGTAGCAAAGTTTAAATTTCAACTAAAGAGCAAAGTAAGTCATATTTGTAATTTTGTAATAATAAAATATTTCTGTTCCAGTGTCACATAGAGAGGAGTTCTATATTGATTCATCATTTTGCATACGATTATAGTACTGGCATAATCTAATTTAAGACAGTCAAATTTTTACTATTACTGTAGATTGTAATAATGAGAGTAGACAAGGAGTATATCATATATTCTTTTTGCATAACATATTGCATGATAAATACTGAAATGATTATCAACAGTCTCAAAGACATTTATTGAGGCTATCATTTCTTTTAAATAATGTGCTTCTCATTACAGTTCTGTTGTGGAACTCCTTGCAAAATGGGCACTGCTGTTTCATTTAGCTGCTATCTCTCTCTTTGTTTTTTGTTGTAAAAGTAAAAAATTATGAGCCACTGTCATAAATGCTTTTTCCAAACTAGTAAAAAATGATAACTTAAAAATTCCTCAACAAAAACAAAATCAATCTCTAGATTACATTTTGAAGTACACTTTCCTTTCAAGAAAACAGCATGAATAAACTAATGTCTTTTAAATTTTTAACCGGTATAATGCAAGGGCAGTATAGTTTTCATACAAAGCATTCTTTGACAACATGACACAAATGAAATATCACTCTTCTGCCTCCTTTATTGACAAGGAACTTAAGCTTGCTGTTACAGATAGTTTGTTAACTCTTTGTTTTTTTAAAAAAAATCTGATGTGGACATCACACGACTGCCTTATGTAATTTGAAGTTATGGGCAATTTATATTAAAAAAATCTTATGTGAACAACACTGCATGACATCCTTGTTTGACCTATTAAATTATACACATTATTTGCTGCATTTCATTCAAACTTTTTTCCTTGAATTTCATTAGACATGTATTTCTTGTTCAATTAATTCAGTCCTCACTTCACGGCAAAACATACATAATAACTCAAAACGTCTTCATTAACAATTGCAAAATACAGGAAAAAAAAAAACATAAAAGTCAAATATAGTTAAAATTACTCAAAAATAAGTAATTTGGGCAGAGGGCAAGAAGGCAAATTTTTCGATGCACAAAACTGTTTACATTTGGTCCTCAGCAGAAAAAAAGAAGGTACAGAAACTCAATTAATTCATTATTCTACCGAGTTCCACATGCAAACGAATGGCGGTTCAGTAGGCTTAACTCGCCACTTAAAGTTGTTGATCATTCTATGTAGCTTAACTAAAGGCATACGAACCTCAGCCGGAACATAATTACATAATTCAATCACTTTTAACATTTTGAGGCCGGAGCTTTGGCAGCTGCAAAAGCCTTGAAAGGGTGGGGTATCTTGAACCAAATGCTTTCCCCCATTTAAGAAATCACTTCCTGTTTGTAACAAAGATTCTTGTGTGTAGTTTAATGGATTCTCAGAGGTGTGCATCTATGTCGCTAAAGGAAGGGAAGTGTAGGGATTAGTGACCAGATTTCAAGATGCTTTTCGTCACTGAGGGAAAATTTCATGTTACAGTTGTTCTGGATTGAAACTACTGAGTGTTACACAGAAGGAAATATGTAAACTTACATTGAAGAAAATGTCCTTCTTTATATTATAGGACGTTACTTTCCTTTTTATAAAATTTTGTTTGAATTTTAAATTACGCTGCAAAATTATGTCTCTTTACTAAGTGCTTACAATAATTATTTCTATCATTATATTAATGTTATGTCAAAAATTATTTCAACTATTTGATTATTTCCTGGACAATTTAAAATTGAACCAGTCTTCACCTCAGTCTTTTTTTTTTTTTTTTTTTTTTTACTGTTAAATGTCTATATAATTTTAAATTTGTTTTGGTATGTATAATCAAATATAGCTATATCTTTGAACTTTCTTCCATACAGGAAATAATTAAAAAATAAATGCTTAAAGCTATAGAAATAATTAAAAATTAAAGTTCAGTGGAACTGTTAAAATTATGCTCTATAGGCCTAAAGAAATTTTAATTTTATATAATTGTGCAGAATCTGCTTGATAACATACTATTTTTTAAGGAGGACAACCTCGTCCTTTCAAACAGAAGACTCTATGGCCACTATAATGCCCTTCCTGTCCTCAAAAGATTAAAGCAAAAAATGCACAATATACCAACTAATAAGAATAAAAAAACTAAGCTCGTCAAGCAGCCAGGTAACTGAGTGGGAATATATTTATCATAACCAAAAGGAGAAGTGCACAACTACATGTTATAGCAGTCCCATACACAGAATTTCAACGTCCTACGGCTACTCGTACTTGAGTTGTGTGGGATACGTTCAGACGTCAAGAAAAGTCTCTTCCGAGTCCATTTGACAAACCTTTTTTGCAAAAACAGTCCTTTATTTTGGCGTGTATACAGATGTCATGGGAAAAAACAACATTCAAATGGTTTTGAGAGCAGGTGAAAGGGACATTTTCTTTGAAATATAATAACCGAAATTTTTCTCGATTACAATACTTCTTCGTAGAAGGAAGTACCCTCATCTGTATCTCCACAACGAATTTCGTTCTCAATCTCCTGCAAGAAGTTCAGAGACGAAATATCATTTTTATTGCTTTCTTACTTAATCTCAAGAACTGTATTATTGAATAAGAAAGACTTAATATTTCTTTGAGCAAAACGTAATGATTGTGTTCATCTGTGACCATTATTCATGGCACTCCAAGCCACTGCCTCATACGAGCTTAAAAATACTACTATAATGGGATAAAATTCCATATAACACTATAAGAGAAATCACATACATTTATGCAATACTTACGGAAGGTATGTCCTATCTCATACAGCTTTCCCCATCCGACAACAGAGCACTGCTTACCATGCCACAGACCAGCGTCTTCACTCTCTGTAGGCAGGCAAACAGGACGGAGATAATCACTGCAATTAAAATGATTTTAGTAGTTCAAACTAGTCGAGATGAGTAAAATAGTTTATTCATCTATATGTAAACTGTACCTAAAAGCCAACTATAGAACTTCAAATTGCCTAAATAAATTATTTTATCCTTAGAACTTATATAATCTTAACACTTTTGCTCAAAATTCAAAAGAAATTTTTAAATAGAAATTTCATAAATATAAAGGCCTCAAAAAGGTGTTATAATGAAAACAGCCCCATATCATAAGAGCATCATAGCGATATTAATTTTGCAAAATAACTCGGGGATCAATATTAAATAAACACTGGGAATATTTGCCTAGAGCTGCCACAGGAATTCATGAAACAATCACATCATTAATGAAAAAGATGGACAGGACTGTCCTATAAAATAATCATAAATGCTGTTTGGAACTCCAAATTAGTCCAAAAACTTTCAATTTTCAAGATTTCAAAGTAAAAATTTCAACAGCAAATTTGAAGTGTAAGAAATTAAACGTTCCCTGTCAATGATTTTATTTTCCAAAATTGTAACTAATGTTAAATTTAGACCCTTGATTTAAATATATATATATATATATATATATATAAATCTTTAGTCTAAAGTTTTTATATATATATATATATATATTTTAGACTAAATTTCTTGTATTCTTTTGGATTTTTATCTTGAATTGCATTTTTTAATGTCAGTTATCTGGAACTTTCATGTATCTGGCACTGAGCATCTTCTGAGCTATCAGGAAAGCTTGGGAACTGTCAAATTCTGGAAACATGAAAATTCTGAATAGCTGAGCATAAAAAAAAATCAGAGTTCAAGTTAGAAAAGCAAAATCAATGGGGACAATTTCTGCTCTAAAATTATAAAAGCAGTCATCTTATTAGCTACTAATTTGAATATTAAAAGCTTACATTTAAAATTACATATGATTTAAAAAAAATTATTTGAAACATAAAGATGACGTTTTTCATAGGCTTAAAACATTGATCTGATTATGAAATCCCATCGAACATAAAAGTTGGCAGAAATGTTGCCAACAATTCTGGCAGAAGTTTAAATGAACAGATTGTTCATTATTTAGTTAAATAATGATGAGGCACAAATTATGGATAACCCATACAAAAACTTAAATCGTTTGTCATAATTGTTCATGTTTCATCACTAATTTATCCAATTCAAAGTCATGTATCATGGCTTTTATTGATGCTGTAACTCTGAAAATACTCAATTTCAAGCAGTCCCAAATATTAACCTTTTTTTTTTTTTTTTTTTTTTCAAATGCAAGAAAAAATTGAACATAAATCATTCCACATAAAAATTAAACTGGCTTCCTGAGAATTAATAAAATTTACATTAAACTGAAATGAACATCTTATGGTTGTATTGTGATGTCATGCTTATCCATTATTAGCACTTAATAAACACTGTGCATAAGTTTTAAAAGTATTACGAACTCTATGATGGTGGCACAAATCTCTCATTTACTAAATTGGGGAGGTCTGAAATTCTAAATTATTCCAGGTACTTGAGCTTTCCAGTTAGTTAAATGTTGGATTGTTGGGGTTTTACTGTATGTAGACACAGCTTAATATGATTACTCAGATATAGTTATTGAATTGCCGAAGTCCCACTTGCTCATATACAAAAACATGGAAAATACATCACTTATTATGATAAACTTTTCAGTTAAAATGATGAGACTATTACAGAATAAATGTTTTTGAACTGAAGTAAAGTTCCCAAGCAAATTCAAAATAAAGTTTTTCATTCCAAAAGTATTTTTCCTGAAGATAGGTTAAGTAAAATTAATGTTATTATATTTTGTTTTAATATATTATATCTGACACTAACGCACATCTATATTTTCAAGCAAAATTTTTTAATTTTAGTTATATTCATTGTATAAAGCACACCCTATTCTTCATGAAAAAAACCTAAAAGATACGCATGCAATGCTCATATCTTTTGAGGTCACTTATTCGAAGATTTATCCTAGCCTTTCGAACAATGGAATACTGAATTGACAAGTGATACGAGGAACAATATGTGTACGGCTTAAATGCTTGAGGGAGTAATTATTCCTGCAAAGAGGGTGGATTGTATTTGATGTAGATGTCCAAAAGAATGCTATCGTAGGATTTCGAGAAAAGAGGGGATATAATTTGGAGTAAGAATGCGCTAAACCTGAATGAATTCGCAGAATTAAGATTCAGATGTTTTCTCTTTCTGTGGAATCAGTGATTTTAAAGTGAACATCAAAGATTTTATTAAAAATACAGTTAATCCAGAGTTCCTTTTGTAGTAAATATGGTTTCTGCCAAAAGAAACTGCATAGTGCTGGTTGCAAATGCAAAGTCATTCAGTTTGTGAAAGAAAATGGAAATTGTGGTGCAGCAAGGTGTTGAGGAAAGATAGAACAGATGATGATTATTTATTTATGGATCAGAGTAACAATGATGCTGGAGATGAAACAGAAATCGATGATGTGCCTAAAGATAAAACAGAAGACGAACTTTTCATGTCATCCAGAAATGAAAAATTATTTAAGTTCAAATGGTATGGTCGTTTTTTTTTAAATAGACTGCATAAGTGTACATAAAATCTAACTTTTGTATCCTGACTTTTTTCTTATTTTTAATCTATCATTTTTATATCCGATATATAATGAGCACCGGTAAATTTCAATCATATTTCTGGTGTTAAGAGTGAGCATTATAGTGTGTTATACATCAGAAAATCATAAATTCAAAATCGGAAAGTATTTTTTCAGTAGGATCATGGTATTATTAAGGTTTGGCACACCTGAATGGAAGATGGTGAGGACTATTAAAAAATTATAAAATTCTTCCACTTCTTTTCATGAAGTCTATTAGCCCCCTCCCTCCAAAAAATGAAATTACCTTTAATTGCTTCTCATGTTTTATTTTCATATTTGGAGGGATCTTTATTAAATGCAAAATTTTTATATTAATAATTGATTTAACTCTTTTACTTTTCTCATTACAGAATTTAACTCTTTTACATTTCTCAAATCATTCAAAAAGTCATTTTATCTGGACTTCTTAAATATACTTTTTAAATTAAATAAAATAGGTTTCTAATGCCTTATAATTGGCATACTTAAAATTTATAAAATAGGTTTCTATCACATTAGAATTGGTACAGTAAAAGTTCTAAATCCGTACTTGTTGGGGCTTCGGTTTCGAATTTGGGATTTTTCCAATATTAGATAATCAATTTAAATCTAGTAAGATGTCATGCAGAAATTTGGTTTATGAAATAATGAACTATTAATGACCTTAAAAGAATCAAAATTCCTCCCCCCCCCAAAAAAAAGAGTTCAATAATTATTTCTTTACTTTATTAAATATTTCTTTTAATGTAAGTTATTTAAGTTGCTTCATTTTTGGGGACTTACTTTTTCTTTAATTCTACAGAGAGACATAATTTTGTATACAGTTACAAAGTTTCATTGTTCAAATTTTGTAACCGCTGTGTTCGAGAATCCTAACTAAATTGTCTTCATTCTCAACAACCTCTCACTTTCTTCACTATCGGTAGAGATATTTTCTAGCTTAGAACCATACTATAGATTTCGCTGTCTGTATAGATGACCGAGATTGCAGCATTTTCATTGCATTGGAAAATCTTCCATTATATCATCTTCATTTATTACGACTTCACCACAAATTCCATTAACTGAAAAACTTTGTTTTTTTATTAGTGGTATCTGAAAACCTTCAAATTTGTGAATATCATCATTAGCTTAGCTAGCATCCACTATTAACAGATGTATCACGAGACTGGCAGCTAAATTTTGCCTTTCTTTTATCATATGCTGATGATGCTAAACCTGAATTGTATTAGTTCAGTTATTTATTATATTTACACCTATTTCCGATGCATGCTTATCCGAGTCCTGAATAAATAAATTCTCAGATATACTTAAGGCCTATCCACGGCCAGGCATCTACACCAGCTCTGGCATCGGTCCTGTGCTTATCTGAATAACAAATCAGTTGTTCTCAAATCAAACAGCACTAAATGTAACCTGATAGCCTATGAATATCATTTGAAAAATATATTTTTTACGCGTGGAAAGAAATTTCTCTTAAATTTCTCCTCCTTAACACATTTATCACTCGAGGGCACAGTTAACTGATGTCTATAATCATCACCAAGCATGATGTCAGTGTGAAAGGTTACCATGATCTTTGCTATCCAGTTACCAATATTTAATAAACAAATTTTTTAGACATCACCACGTGAGTCATTTTTCTAAAGCTGCCATGTGTTGAGTTATGGTGTGATGAAAAGCAAAAAATAATGGTACTTCCTTATTATAGGAGACCCTAAAACATAATCACTCATCAAGTCAAATGTAACATATAGTGAGGTCCAAGAACATGTGGCGAGATTTTGGCAAAATATCTCAGTTGATTAGTGATTCAATCTTGAGGGCCACTATAATAAGGGAATACCAAAGTAATAAATTACGCTAGTAGGTGCCAGAGATATAAATTATTCAGTAGGTGTAAAATCAACAATTTTTCAATTCAAGTTTCAGATGTATGGCAAGCAAAAAGGCAAATAGTAACCAGATTATTGATCATACAGATTTACACTAATAAATGATTATTTCTTCAGTCTGGAGGTATTTTATTTAAAGCTGAAGTAAAATTAAGATTTTGGAACTCACCATATGCTTTTCTATGAAAAATTATCAAATGTGCATGTTTAAAGCATAGCAAAAAATTTCTAAAAAGAAAAATACACTCAAGATCCAAAACATTATGACCACCTGTCAATAACGAGTTGGGCCACCTTTGGTGTGCAACACAGCTTCAACCCGCCTTGGCATGGATGCCACTAGTGCTTGATAGATGGCCCGGAGACAGATTATACCAGATGTTGTAGCAACGGTCACACACATCTGAGATATTGTGAATTGGGGGTCTTTGACCTCTGATCTGCCGTCCCATGACATCCCAAATGTGTTCTATCGGACTGCGATCCGGTGAGTTAAGCGGCCAGGACATTAACTGGAAATCAGCATCTTGTTCCTGGAACCACTCCAATTGTAGCCTTGTGACACGGGGCATTGTCCTGTTAAAACATTCCCATTTTCAGCTGGAAAAACAGAAGCCATGTAAGGGTGCAACTGATTCGCAATGATGTTCAGATACCCTGTAGCATTCATGGTCTGCTCTACCACAATCGCGAGTCCCAGAGATCCCAAGAGAACGTTCCCCAGAGCATAATACCACCACCACTGGCCTGTGTATGACCTACTGTGCATTGAGGGAGCAACTGTTCGCCTGAAAGATAGCGTATGCTGACACGGCCATCAGCGTGATGAATGACAAACCCTGATTCATCTAACCAGGCAACTCTCTCCCATTGATCCATGGACCAGTCGCGATGTTCCCGGGCCCAGCACAGGCGCAGTTGGCGATGATGCTTGGTCAGCAAAGGCACACGAGTGGGACGTTTGCTGCGTAGCCCCATATCCAACAGTGTCCGCTGAACAGTGTGCTCCAATACTTTTCTACTTGGCCCTGCATTGTATCCGGCTGTCAGCTGAGCCACTGTCTGGCTCCAGTTTTGCTTCACCATGCGAGACAGTCTCCGACAACCTTTTTCTTTGATAGCGTGTGGACGTCCAACACTATGTCGTCTACTGCTGGTTTCACCGTCATTCATCCACTTTTCATACGTACTAACAACTGTAGATCGCGAACAACCCACGAGTTGTGCAGTTTCAGAAATACTTGTTCCGAGCCTTCGAGCCATTACAATCTGCCCTCTATCAAATTTGCTTAGATCCGCAGCCTTTCCCATCACACACAGAAGTAAGTGAAAGAATGATTCTTCAGACTCTCCAGCAGCAGTTAAATACCACTTCCACCTCATCACGTGCCTTCCACGTCATCCAAGTGCGTTCATCGCAAAATGTAGGGCTGGTTATAATGTTTTGGCTCTTGAGTGTACATTTGCTGGTTGTCCAGTGGAGATTCAGATTTTGTATCCTATATTTAAAATTTGTTAATCTGCCTCTTGTGTATATTTAGTAACAGAAGTTTGCAATCAGTGGACTTCTATACATATTTGTAATGTTGTTATTTTGTATTACAAAGAAAAATTATCAAATGTGCATGTGTAAAGCATAGAAAAAAAAATTTTAAAAAGAAAAATATATTTGCTGGTAGTCCAGATTTCAGATTTTGTATTGTATATTTAAAATTGGTAAATATGCCTCTTGTATATATTATTTAGTAACAGAAGCTCGCAATCAATGAACTAATTTCTATACCTATTTTTAATATTGTTATTTTGTATTAAAAAACTGCAAAATCGCTGGAGCTTGAAAACAGAAATTCATTTTGAGTTTAATGTTACTGAACAATAAAAATTAATTTAACAGAGTTTACAGCAGAAAGTACTTATATCAAAAATGTGAAATATTAATAGTTTTCCATAATTTTAAACAGTTAACTGTTTTTGAGATGTTTTCTTGTATTCCAAAGCCTTCTTATTCCAAGATTTTCAATAACTTATTAAAAATATAAGATGCCTTTTTTAACATTAAATATACTTTGGTAGCAATGAAATGTCATTTGTAAAACCTTTAATTTGTAATCATCATGCACTGAAATTTCTAAAGCAGAATCAAGCCTTTCATAATTTGAACTCGAAATTATTTGATGAAGGGGAAATATGAAATCTTTAAAAATTAAAGATTTCATATTTCCCCTTCATTGAATAATTTCTAGTTCTAAAATCGAAAGTTTCTTGCAAACTGCGTCAATTTTTATAACATCACTGTGAATGATAACAAAGATGCGTAATCTTTACCTGAACATAACTGGCTTATCCATCTTCAATAGAGCTATATCATTAATAAAGCCTTGGTCTTCATAGTCTGGGTGAAGAATTATTTGCTCAATTCGACGGATTTCCTCAGATGGCGATGGTAACTCAGATCCTCTCCTTAATAAACCTAAGCGAGCTGTCCAATATGCAGTCTGGGTGCTGAAATAAAAGTTAATAAAATTTAAAACGTTAAAGCCAAATGGCTTTAAATTAGCAGGAGATTTAAATATTCTACAAAGAGAATTTTTAAAAATGAACACTCGTGATTGACATTTTGTTATGATAGTTATGAGCAAAATGTTCATCATTCAAACACAATTCACTAATGGAAGGAACAAGGTTGATTAAATTGAAAAATTAGATTTGTTATTAATTTTCTTTTCCTTTGATTTGAGCATATGATAAGATAATACAATACTATATTCCCTTTTTAAGATTCCATTAAATTTATAAAAATACACATCACATATGTATATGTGGTCATGTGTTATGAGTATCTGTTATGCAGCCTAGAGTATTTCATAAACATCTGTCTGTTAAAAATTAGCAGAAAAGTAATTATATATCATATGTAGGTTGCTGGTTTGTTTACTTTATTACTTTTTAGTTGTAAAAAGTGTTCCTTTTCGAAAATTACACTTAATAAGTATGGTGATATTACATCAAAAACCATACTATATACAAGGAATTTTTTCCCATGCACAATATTGTTGTTTTCTACATAAACATTTATCTTTATATTATATTATATTATAAAATGATATTTTCCTAATCAGTACTGTATTCGTTTTTGTTTGATTTATTTATTTGGTACATTTTATGTGGTAATTGTTCATTTATTAGTTTGTTATTTAATTTGCAAGCTCTTACTGCATTTGTAAGTATTTAATTTCTTTATTGTTTTGCAGATCTTATAATTTTAAGCAGATAAATGCTGGAATTATGAAAATAGTTTAATGAGAACCAAATATATTTGGTGTCAATGCATACTGGGATTGGTGTCATTTAAAGATATCTTACAAACTTAGCATCATTCTAGAATTTTCCAGAAAATATATTTTCTAGACACTAAGATTTGTTTCTCCAGAAGATTCCGACTATAACTTACACAGCTATGGTAATTTAAATTGAACACTGGGGAGGAGTAGCCTTGAATTAGTTAGAAGTCTGCTTATGTTATCAATACATAACGCCATTACATAAGTATTGTGCTCACATTGTCACTAAATGATATTGATTTGGTATAAAAATAGTATATATCATTCACAAATGATTTGCCTACAATTTTAAAATCTAAATCGGAAGTCTTGCTTGTCATTTCCTGAAATATCTCTAAAGATTTTCTCTTGAATTATGTCTGTGAATTTGTTCAAAGCTCTATGTGAAAAATGTTTAATTCAAAGTAACCCTAGAGCCGGTTCTATAGCTGATGCAAGTGATGCAGCTATAACCAAATGACAGAATGTAGAGGTGGAAGAATTTAGAAACCCCAGACTGCATTAGGTGGCTGATTGCCTAGCACCAGCCTTGAATAATCTTAATGGAAGAAACCAAACTGCAAAGTCTGAAGAGCATTTTAGTCACCAGGTGTCTGTACATGGTAAGATAATAGACAAGATCCCATTAGCACTTTCTAGTATGGCAGAATATTATGATGACAGCTAAATTTTGCTACTAATTTTTACCTTAATATCATATTGCAGAAGTATTAATTAGATAAACCATGCATCCACATAATTTTAGTAGTCCTCACTAAGGATTACATATTTTTAAGCACTGGGAAAGATCAAGATCAATCAGTGTAAAAAATATTTTCTGATTAGAGATAAAATGTATATTACCTGTAAAAGCAATGTCCAGCAGAAATGAGCCACGTGTCTGAGATAAGAACAGCTCCACACTGGAAATCACCTTCCTTGTACAAGGCAACCTGCCATGGCCATGATCCACTAACTGTACTCTGCCCTCCCACGATGCGACGGCGATTTGCAATTACCATTGGCCGAATTCCACATTCTGCAAATGAACCATTTATATTTAAAATATTTACTCATGGAATAAACAAGTTCTTTCAAAATGCAGTTGTACGATTACTTTATTGCTTTCTGAAGAAATGTGTGATTAGGATATGATTAAGATAGTCTTTGAATAAAGAATAACATTCATTTGGTACCCAACAATACCGATTTGTTTTGATTTTAGGAAAGAAGCTGAAGAATTTCAGAATGATTCTGGACCCTACAGAACCTGAGATTCCTAGTCATATCTTGTGGAAATAAATTCTAATGAGAGTATATGTTAGGATTACTTAGATTTAATGAATAACCCAGCTACATAACCCCAGTAGTTTGCAATTACGTAAAATGAGAACTCATTCTTACTGCATTTTCTTTTCAACCCATGGGTAATTGGATGTTATTAGTATCAAATGTAGTATTTATGGTTTCATAGCACATATCGGATAATTAAGCCCAAACACTGACACTGGTCATAGCTCATCTTCAGGACTCGTTTGGGTTTATAGTTATATGGGAGAATAAATAAAATTAATTAATGATATTAAATATGTGAAAACTGCTTAGTTGCATAAAAAAAGAACATAGACAGTGAGAGTTTTTGCAGGCAGCCCATTTGCTTCTTCAGCCAGAGTCTGACTGAATGATGATCTCATGTCTATCTCATTTAGAAACATTACAGAAAGCTTCATAAGTGATGACACTTTTCTTCAGAAATCTACTGTTTGCATCCCGCTCTCACAGAAGATAGCAACCTTGGACCCAAATTCAACTGATCGAAGTTCTCTTCATTGACAAGTCCATATTCAGCCCAGAACTGATTCTTGGCATAACTTCATCTGGAGGAAACATGGGACTTAAACATTCCTCCAAGTTCACAGAAAAGGATCCTATGGCAGCAAATATGTCATAGTTTGGGCAGACATCATGATGGATGGACACAAGCCACTCTTATATGTGTTTGACAAAGACTGCTTCAAGTTACAGAGAGATGATCTTAGAACCCTGTGTATGACTTTACAGTAATGCAGTTGGCTCTCAGTTACTTTTTATGGATCACAACTCATCTACTCAGAGCTCAACCAATGGATGACTATTTTTAAGGGAAGATATTCTGCAGATTTGTAGATCTCACTATCAGAATGACAACTTCTGTGTGATTTGCTTTACCTATTAGAAATAGCTATACCCCAAATTAGCCTCAGCCATCTTCAATACCAATTTTATATATTTCTGCTGTCATGGGTATAATTCATGATCAGGAGTAGCACTTTCACTGTTATGTTATATAATTAATTTTCTCAGGTTAGTACACTGTATTCAAACCAAATTTTATTAAATCCTATCTGCTAATTTTTGAAAAATGTGTGTGTGGGGGGGGGGGGTGTTAAGATTTTCCTAATTCTGAATCATTGCTTAACATGAGAAACATGGATTTACAACAAGACAGAATTTCTAGTTTTTTACAGTATGTGTATATGTTTGGTATAATTTACATGTTTTATTTATACAAGATCACAAAAAATATTAGTTTCAATTAATGTAAAATATTTGAGAATCAGACAAAGAACATTTAATACTTTCAAAAAAATTTTTTTCAGCATTCTTTATATAAATATATGAAAGTTAATTAAATAAGATGTTACATTAATAGTTTTTAAAGGCCTTACGAATAAAAATTAATTAAAATTTTACAGAAAAAAATTATGCCACAATCACTGACATGTTTTCTTTTCTTTTTACTTTATATATATATTTTTAAAATTAAGTAAGAGTTTCTGAAACAACAAATTATAAAGGTATACCTAGATCTCCACATTCTACTTTGATGACATCTTTGCTTTTGCACATTGATTGTTGAAATATAGTAGTAGACCTGAAAATGAATGAATTATTAATTCTTAAAAGTGAAATGTATTACTAGTTACCTTTTTACCAATTACTAATTAATAATAATGAAATTTTACAGCAAAAATTATAAATAAATTAAATGTTTCTGTGCTACAGCTACAGCAGTTTGAAAGTAATATTCTCTCTCTTTTAAGTACACAGCAGCACATTACAGCTTCGTTCTTGTAAGACAGAAGTCAAATGATTAAAAATAAAGATAAAAGACAGTTACTGTCCATCATTAAATAAAAATAAACTGAGATGAAAACATTTTAGTTGGCAGAGTAATCGTGGTTATCAAATTACTAAGTTAAAAAATAACAAATTTATGTTACATTTTAGGTTAAGCATGTAATACTGAGGATCAGAGGCATACTTTATTTATAATTTGTCTATATTAGTAAATTAAAAATTTAAATGATTTGGAATTTAAAAACTCTTCTTTCCTTGACAGACATTTTTATTTATCTGACAAAAGCTGTTATTTTAAAGGTTAAATTTATCTGACTAAAAAAAAAAACTCTAGGGCAAATCAACAACTGCAGAATTTCAAGATATGACAGCACTAATATGATCCATATTTAAAGACTTAAATTCATCACATAGTTCCAAGATTTAAAAAAATAATAATAAATAAAATCTGAAAGGGTTCAGATTTTAACAGTCGCCCAAAAGGGTTTGTTAAGAATTTTTTATGCTGTTGCACTCACTAACTGCTGTTGATAACCCTTTTTTTTTTTTTTTTTTTTTTTTTTTGTCTTTATAGCTTTATTATTAAGCATAGCTTTCTTTGCACGTATTCTATATACAATTCAACAGCAAAATTACAGAAGTTTTAACAGCAGCATATGTTTAGAATTTCTGATGCAGTGTTAAGTGTTGCTAACATTTTATCTATTTTTTTAAAGTTTTCTCTCAGTTCATCATATCAATGTTCAGTTTGCTTAGTAAAATGGCTTGGAAAACTTTTTTTTTTTTTTTTTTTGTCTTTTTATTATTAACACTTTGTGTGCTAAATTTATCAATTAAATATCATGTTCTTCATACTTATATCACATAAAACTCAATTCAACAGCAGAATTACAAAATATCTAGTATTTTTAGAATTTCTGATATACAGTCTCACATACTCTAAATAATAATGTTTTATTCTGTAGAGCATTTCCATTGCTCGCTTTCGAATCATTGAGTTTTTAATCAAAAATTCATTAAAGTTTTATAAAATATGAAATATAAAATTCAAAAGGGATGGATGGAGGTCTACGCTATTCAAAATTTGATGGATCTACATACCATTGTTTTCTCACAATGCAAAGAGCATACTTACATACATGCAGATTCTTCATTATTTCATTTCTTTAAAAATAATACATGGCAATAATATTTGGTGGCAACCATTTGAAAAGCCATACATCCATTTATAATGACACAAAATGCTATTTTGAGATTAATAGCCCATTCGGTCTAACACCATTTTGGATAACAAGGCAATGTTTTGGAGATAACTTTCACACCACAAATTTCCCAAAACACAGGGAAGTGTCTTGTTTGTGGCAAAATATACAGTGTTTATCTAAGCATAAATATAAAATATGCTTTGCTTAATTACCAAGCTGATTAGGTCCATGTTTCTGCTTAACATCCAGCCTTCACCAACAACAGTAGATGGTGCCACCTCCATAGCACCAAATTCACAATTTAAGGCTTGCGACAGATATGTTGACAACAGCACTGCCCAAACATTAACCTCTATCAGAGTATGATGCTGATTATTGTTGCAAGAGAATTAATGAATGATTACAACTAAAATGAATAGCATGAACTAAACGAAGCAAATAACGATCCGTGTCAACTATGCAGAATTTCAGAAAAACAAAACTTTTAATTAACCTAGTGCAACTGCAAAATATGCCTAGTTCCTGCAACCTTAGGTAACTTTATTTTTATTTGATTTCAACTGCAAAGTTGAAAGCTTGTATTGACAGCAATCACTTTGCTTCTATTTGCTATTTCCATGCATATTTTTCTGTTACCTACAATGCCTAAATATTAACCACTTGCGTTACGACTAAACTTCAAGGTTGCGATGCCGTGTGCTACAATATAACAGGCGGTAAAGTGTCTCATTTACGCCGCTCCACGTCTGCAAGTACAATCCAGAGCTGTAACTCGAGAAATAATCTCATTGTTAGGTGACGTGTGCACCACATTATTTTCATTTTGTGATAAATGCCTATCGACGTGGTGTTCACGTTGCTCGCGGTTTGAGACAAAAGCATCTCGATGTGTGTGGCACGTCTTTTTAGTGCAAGTGGTTAAAACAAAAAATTTAACTCTGTTATAAATATCCAGTTTTATTTTTTATCAAGATACTGAAAATGAATCAGAATATCTGATAAAAAATGTGTCACTTTGGTAAAATATATTACTAATTTTGTTTAATTTCATGCATCAAAAATCTTCATAATATGTTAAATATACCAAAAACTTACTTTCTGACTTCACGAGATGCTTCACTGGAAATTTCATAATAGAACTCTGATCCCATTGTAGTGTCATGAACACGTTTGGACTCCGACATATCCCTAAATTTTCAAAACAGAAAGGAAAAAAGGACCATTTATTTAATTGAATTAAAATATACATATATATAACTGCCATTAAAAACCTTTTATTCAAAATACGTAAAAAGATTAAATGATCTTGGCACACCATAATATTTTTGTATTCTCCGTCTATCTGAGACTGGAAATCAGTAAGATCTACCCAATAATGGGAATTAAATTCAAATTATTTTTTCTGTATTTTTCTGGCATGGTTTAAAGGTGCACAGTCCAAATCATTAAGTGTAACATTCTTGTATTTGGTAGAAAGTTCTTTCAACATTCTGTCATTGTTCTCAGTGTCCAGTAGCCAAATGAGTTTCATGGAGTACATGAAATAACTCAGTGTTCGTGATGTTATACTGCATAATATTGATGCCTTCTTTAATAGGACAAATGAGTTTACTTTTGTTTTCCACAAGCATCCCATCATAGCAGTTCAGCAACCAATAGCCCACATGGTTCTTTTTAGTAAATATTTAAACTTTTTTTTACATCATTTATCACTTTTGGTAAGTAGTAGATTATTTGAAATGAATCAGAGATGTATATCATACTTTGTCGGTTTGTCATTTGGCATTCTGCAGAATGCCTAAGCAATGCATGTAAGTTTTGATTATATCATACATTGCCAGCCACTTTTCTGCACACTATAAAATGCCTAGGTATTCTGCAGAATGCTGGATTTCATACTTTGCCGGTAACGTATATAAAATTTTTATTGAAATAAAATCATTTTCTATAAAATTAATTTTTTTTTAATATTACAAAAATTTTATTACTATACATTTAGATAATATCAAATAGAGTAAACTGTAAATTTCAGCATATTTAATTGCAGTAATGATTTTAAAGGAATTTTTGAAAGAAATTAGGCTTGAATGGCAAAATCATTCAGTCAAATATATAAAGTATGTATGCTTTTGAAGTGTGCAGGGCCTGGGGGAGCATTTCTTTCTCCTTTTGTCAATCTTGAACAGATTTTTGGAACAGAGTCACAGTGTTTTTGGAACCAAAAGAATAATAAATTATTACAAAGTAAGATCTAAAATTCATCGACTTTTGAGTGGAAGAAAGTGCATGAATAGCAGATACACTGAATTTTGTGACTGAGCTACTGCCTAACCCCAGTGTGCTGAAAAGCAATTCCACTGAATTAAATTTTTGAAACCTATGACACATTTTGATTTTCTCAGCCAGATATCTTGTTATTAGTTATATATAAAAACTGAAATAGCAGCAATGTGTATTGTGTACACTTGGGTAAGTGTTGAACAGAAACCTATGAAAGTTCATTGCAAATACTTTTTATTATGTTTAAAATTCTTCAAACGATAATCAAAATTTTAAGTTGCTCTAGAAAATGCACTGAAAAGGAAAACTTCAGTTACATGAAAATCTTATGCAAGCAAAAATTCTGCAATCATAGAAGGAAAGGCAACGTTTAGATCAAGAAGGTAAGAGTAGTAAGATATGTGTATGATAATGCTATAGCTTATTGTTGGTTTCTGTATTCTCATAAAACTATCCACAAATATCATATTCTTGAGCAAGCCTTAGAATCAGGCAAATTTTTACCTGCTTTCTGAGCTTGCATGCTAATTTTGACAGAAGCAAAAGGGTCACTGTTTTTTGTAATGTGAAAAAAATTTAACATGCAATGCCTGAGGAATTGAAGAAATTTTCAAAGAATAGGGCCCTATCATTGTCATTTATGCTTCCATAGAAAAAAGACCTTTTGAGTGAGAATGTTTCAGTGTTTTAAGGTTTGGTTTATTTGATTACAGCAGAGAACACGAGGGAGAGAGCCTAAAAGGAGGGATGCCTTTGTGGAGGATTTTCCTAGGGAAACTAGCTCGTACACACATTAGTCAGTGTTATAAGAACTTAACCCTTAACATAGTACTTAATTCTTTAGTTTTTCAATCATATTACCTACATTATGTCACTAGTTATCTCACTGCATGTTTAAGATTTCATTTTTAACTTTTTTTTTTCATTTGCTGATCAAACTCAACTAAAAGACAAGAATACAAATATTATTTTATCAATTACTCACTTAGAAAATTCATTGCTGAAGTAATTAATTCTTAATAAGCTTTTTTTATAATGCAGAAAAACCCCAATTATCCTGCAGTGAATTTAAAGGAAAGCTCAACCAAAATAATATCAAATTTTATAAACACTTTTTTTGTTGTACAAAAGATTAAGCAAATAAGATACTTATAGCTCTGTCATAAAGCAGAACAAGACTATGACTTAAATCAAGCAAAATATGTTGCCAAACAACCGAGATTTTAATGCCCGTAACGTATAAGCATGACGTCGCAACATAATCACACCTTGGCTTTTTTGTAAACCTGATTAATTATTGATATGCGGGTTTAAATTTTGTAAAAAGAAAAAGTTTACTATTTATCAGTTTTTCAATCACAGTCTGAATGGTTAAAATTTTTGTCTCAGTTTTAACAGAACAGCATGCAGCAGAGTATTTTCAAAATTATGAGATTCTGGCATTAAGAAAAGTGAGACTTTTTTGAAAACTGATATACACTTGCTATGCAATATAAAAAGTTGTAAGTGATAAGTAACCAGTGATATAAGTTTTTATGTATTATGCCCATAGTTTGAATGTGTAGAGTATTGAACTAAATAAAGGGTGATTTATTGGTTCAAATTTCTGCTGAAATGACTGGCATGAATTTGGCAAGATCACCACCAATTTTTATGGTTGATAGAATTTTGTTATCAAATATGCCGTTTTCATTTCAAGGTAATTATGTCTGTAATTCCTTTTTTCTTTCAAAATATCACATAGTTTACATTTAGGTGTCTGGTATTTGTGTCGATTCCAAATAAAATGATTCTTTTTTATAATTTTTCGCCAAAGTTTTTTTGCTTCATTCATTTTGCTTTTCTACTGTAAACTGCATTTTTTCAGTAATCCAGAATTTTCATGTATCCAGAATCCCACATTTCCAGAGAGTTAAGCTTTTACTGTACTATGTTTTAAAGAATCCTAGTATTTAAGAAACGCCGAGAAATTTTGAAGAAAGACGGACAAATAATTCATTATAAAAAAGCACATGACTGTCTGTTAAAAAAAAAATCGTAGAAAATAGCACTGCATACAGTTACATCACATAATTTTGTGGCTGTTCACCTCAACTTTTAGAAATTAAATCAAAAATTGTTAGATTCCCTCCCCTGACTTAAAAAAAAAAAAAAAAAAAAAAAAGAAATAGCATTGAAGAAAACAATGATATATATAGGAAATTAAAAATATTTAAATGATATGTTTGCTCGTACTTGTAAGTCAAAGTAGCGCAAACTGCTTTTCCTAATTCATCCAACTTTCTTCGAAGACCAAGCGAATCTTGAACACTCTCAAGACAAAGCTTGCCCCACTGTCCTTTTTTGCGAACCATCAAGTAGCCGCTAGATCTGTAATGTAAGCTTTCAGCATCAGGCACAGACTCAGCAAGCCTCACTAATGAAAGAATTGAAAATATGATTAATGCACTCTAATAATGTAATATAGATATAACAGTACAAAGAATCTAGTAATTAAACAATGAGGGTTTGAATAAAATAATTATCTAATTATTCATTTTTTGAGATACGATTTCAAAGATTTGTAGTTTCGAGCACTTTTTTTTTTTTTTTTTTTTTTTTTTTTTTTGTCTGCTAGCCGAATTACTTATTTTGTCATAAAAACTCTTAATTTTAATTGCAAAATTTGTTTTTTTACTGTATTTGGTGTTTTAGATTTTTCTATAATTTACAAATTTTAATGAAGTTTGAGTTTTTATGTATTTTTGCCCTGCCGTGAAGTGAGAACTGATTTGATTGAATTAGAAATATATCGCTAATGGAAACCATGGAAGTAAGTTTAAACAAAGTGCATCAAAAAATGTGTATAATTATTAGGCCATATAGGGAAGTCATGGTGTCCACATCAGGTACTTTCTTTTAGTAGTATTGTTAATTCTCTTAACATTTATTTCATTCACTTTCAAAATAATGTAATGTTAAGAAGTTAATGAAACAAAAGTAAAAATGAGTACTACTAGCAACAGAACTCAGTCAGACAAAATCTCAGCTCTATTGCTGTGCATTGCCAACAATGTTATCAAAGATTATAATAAAAGAAAGAATTTTGTATTATATTGTTTAGAATTATATCTCGCTTTTCTTACTATTTCTGAGAATTCTGCCATAGATCTTTGCATGTATACTCCCTTCAAGATCTGTTATGTCGGTTGGATGAAATCAGTGAATCATAGTCTTGTGTTGTTCTTGTTAACTGTCTATTTTACACAGCCCCTCAGTTGTCTTACATGAAAAATTCATATATCAAATGTAAGTTGAATACTATCATAATTTATACTTACCACAATATTTTTCATCATTTCCCAATGGGCAATCATCATGTCCATCACAAACCTGGGTCCGATTGATACAGAACTTAGTTTGAGGACAGATGTATTGACCTGCTTTACACCACGCTAAAATATTTAAAGGAAAACATTTTTGAACATATAGCTTTTCACATATGATGCACTATAATTCTGAACATAATTAATGCACTTGAATATAATATTAAAGAATCATTGGAAGAAAGATGAAAACATGTTTTTTTTTTCAAACACTTTACAAGAAATTTGATTAAAATACAAGACATTTTTCAAACAGTCAAGGTTTAAACATTGAATGATCAGATCATGTACATGATGGCATCTATGATCTGATTGAAACAGTATACAATTACACAATATGCTTTTAAATGCTATGAATGCCATAACTGACAAACTTGAAATATGAACAAAGAACAAGGTTTTCGCATGAAAATTGGGATTTTCTGGGAGGTTTTCATGCAGCACAGTGACGCTATCCCAAAAGAACTCCAAATTGAATTTAAATTAGAATCAGATTATTCAACTATTTATAGGCTAATTTCATTTTCATACTTTGCTTACACTTTTATTTTCAGAAAAAAGTAGAGAAGAAAAACTTTTTATTTAACAATGCATCTTTAACCCCTTAAGGCACACATTAATTTCTAATTTTCGGTCAAAAAATCACCTATTTTTTTCCTTGCATAATCATATTCATGCATAATCATATATATGCATAACAGCCAGGGTTAGCTTCAATCGAAATCTCGGTGGTGCAATGTTTGGTTGATTTATACTAATTTGATACCAATCCTTGCTATATCCAAAATCTCGTCGTCATTATCTTCCGTTCACTTCCATCACTCAAGAAATCATCACTCTCATCGATGAAACTGTCCTGATAAATTCGCATATTCAAAATTGTCATCGTCAGAGTCGCTCATATCAGATAACTTTTTTTAAATTATAAAAACACTTAGTAATATAATTTGCAGTTAACTGCTTACTTTTATTATATTACATAATAAAAATGGATATATTACCTTTTCCACACCAAACGACTACTTATAGCAAAGAATTCCTAGCAAACTTATAGCTAATCATCAAAATGCGCCACGTGGTTTACACAGGAAAAATGCTGAATAGTGGTGCCATCTATGTCAAATAAGTTTAATTATAATCTAGCCTATTTATTTTTACTGGAACGGATCTCAGACAAGCATTAGAAATAAAATAACGCGAGATACAAGGGCACCCATGTGAGACACGGGCATGTGCAAATTTGCCGGAAACTTTCGCCCGTGTGAGACACGGGCAAATGCGTTAAGGGGTTAAATATGAGAGAAAAATTTAATAATCAATGTACGTATTATTGTGAAGATAAACTCATAAATGTACAATTTATTGATGCAATACCAAATTAAATACAAATTCTCGTTAAATCCTCATAAATATTCTACAAATGCATATAACAGATTAAGAAAAATCAGGCTTGTTAAAAATCTTGATTTTGCTGAAGAATAAGACCATTTAATTGGGCCATGGGGACCCATAGATTCCCAAGCCATGCCATGATACCCCATAAATTTCAGCAAGTGAATCTTGATCTTGTCTTAAAAATTAATAAGGAAGTTATGTTTGACTCTACAACTGTGTCAGGTGCACTGAAAAACACTGAAAGTTTATTTTTCCAGTGATCAGTAGATTCATATGGTAGGTTCAATAAAGTGTAGGAATACTGACTTTGGAGATAGTGTACAAAGCAGATGTTTTTCTTTTTACGAAGCATTTGGCTTTACTACCATAATTCTGTTGGTGAACTGAAAACAATTCATACGGCCTTACATCAGCTTAACTGTCAAATTGTCTTCAAAACAATCCTCCTGTTGAACTCTCAAAAGTCATCCTTCAAATTCTAGCCAGCAATAGGACTTCTGATTCGAAACATAATGGTAACTGCTTGCGCCTTTAGAATTCTCTTGCCAGTTCTGCAGCATTACAGAAAATCTTAGTTAACTGTAGAATAAAGGGAAATCATAGAGCCCATTTCTTAGTCAAAAAAGGAATGATTGCTCTCTGGAAAGTTGGAAATTGAATGACACTGATAAGCATGGAATTTAGCGATATTTATGACTCAAATGTGTGCATAATATTTAGGGAAGAAGGCTTCCTGGACAAGGAATACACTACCCCAGATTTTCACATGATGCAGCTGTAAAGAACTATCTTTTCAGTACACCTCATTGGCTTCATGTTCAGTGGTTTCACTTCGGTCTCAAGAACTCTCAGTGTGTTCTCTATGTAATAGGGAGAGCATTTAAAAGTGTGTTCTGATTTTTAACTCTGTAATCCAGAAGTATTCGGAGGCAAACAGCTAATGACATAAGTGCCAAAAATCAGACAATTGTACATAAATAAATAAACATATTTTTACTCCATGAACTCTGGGAATTTTTATGCAGCCTTTCACGTGAAATATTTTACTGGCTTGAAATCAAAGAATCTAAAATCAGCATAACTGTGCAACAAGAAAATACCTTTCTTTCCACAGAAAGCTTAGGAAGATGCATAATATGTCACTAATAGAAAATATGTCTAATATCATATGCCACAAATTAAAAATAAATAACCACAAAAAGTGGTTTAAAAAGTGTTTATGTCAAACTTATTTGAATTGTCCAGTAGATTTGGCTTTGGGAATCTAAACACCACTTCTTCAAGTATGACCACTCTGTATGTTTCAACCTCATACAGCATCTCTCAGTAAGTTTTAAATTATCCTCCGAATGAAGAATAAAGATCATGAATAAAAAAATCTTGATGAAAAAATTCCATTCTTTGGCTGCTAGAGAGATTTCTAGTGGAAAATTGCTACATTCTAACTCACAATATGACTACTACTACTACTATTAATACTACAACAATATGACTTATTCACTATGTCCCAAAATGTTACAGGGTTTTAAATATTTCCTGAAAGAAATATTGTACCGAAATTATTCTAATAGCATTTTGTTTCTCCTAACCTCTTGAATGCACCATGTATGCTCTTATATTTTTTCTCATTTTTTGCCTGTCATTTCTTTCTTATATATACTATCAAGTTTGATCCAGTTCTTAGGTTCTAGCTGCCAGTTGCGCATCAAACAGTCACCATTGTTGTTTTCAAAAAACCACAATGTTAGATACATGTAATATTGTATACAATATTAGATATGTATAATATCTAATATGTTATACATAAAATACAAACAATATATATTGTATGCATAATATATTAGATACATATATATATATAAAACAATCCAAGTACAGAACTGTTCTGTAACACTTCAGGCTATGTTTCTGAGGAAAAAATTTGGCTGTTCAAAACTTAGTCTGATAAAATTGCCCTTTCTATATGGCTTCTTTCATAAGTGTTCATTAGTTTTTTTTTTTTTTTTTTTTTTTTTTTTTTTCCAAGCTATATGCTTTGTTCATCTGTAATATTATCCAATTTAATGCAAGTTCTCACAGATTAGTAACCATAATGTTTAAACGTAAACCCCACATTGATATAGATTTATATTTAATGTTATGTGTCACTGGGTAGTTTAGAAAGTTTAAATGTACCAAATATGCATGTTGTGAAAACATTTAAGACTTATTATATTCTTCAATTAACGTTCCAAATGCACCAGTTTTTTGTATTCAACCATGTAATTTTATACCAGACAAAATTCATTCTTTCCTGCCCATTTCATTGTGATTTGAATGCAGAGTTTCCTGAGCATCCAAATCCTTAAGTAGTCATTTCAGAGACGCTATAAGTACAGATTGAGACAGAAAATTTTATTTTGAACTTGGTTGCAATGAAATTATAAATATGAAGCGAGCTCACTCCTTATTTTTATCTTTTAAAATAACTCCTTATTTTTATCTTTTAAATAACTTTTTTTTTATCGTTATTAATTATCACAATGAAGTAAGTTTCCTCTTTAAAATTTTTATTACTGTGGTTAGTTTTAAGACATCTATTTGCAATAACTAATTAAATAAATCAAATTACTAAGTCTCACTTACGACAATTTTGTTCATCGCTGCGATCTTGACAGTCCTCTACACCATCGCATATCTTCTGAGACTGACCAAGTACTTTCAATAGATCAGTACATGCTAAAGGAAGATTAAAAGTATTTCTTTTTACATAGGAAAGAGTTTTGAAATGCATTTTAATGGTCAGGAAAATTTGTAACTGCTTCAGAAATGCACCATTAAGTAACCTTCATCATGTATACATTGATAGTAGATATAAATAAATAATATCAAGTTTATAACTTAAATCCAAAATTATTCAGCACATTTCATGTTTGGAAAAAAAAAAAAGAGAGAGAGAGAGAGAACAAAATGAGGTACAAACACATTCATTGTTTCCTTGGAAAGACACTTTAAAACAATTTTACACAATAAAATTTTAAATATTAAGTAACCTTCCACATGAACTCCATTTGTAGCTCAAAACACATTACATGTTCAGCTCAATAATTTTGGACAACCATGTATAAACGATACAAAAATACTGATGCAGATAATATGATAATGTATTATAAAGTCCAAAATCCATATGTGCAATATCTCCAGATCACTGCCTCCTTTCTCCGCCCCCCAAAAACCATTCTCTCTTAGAAAGTCTGATTAGGAATCGAAAATATAATGCTCAATAAAAGGAAGCAGATGTGCTGTAAAAGCAATTTTTTGCCTGCCCAACTTAGATTCCTGCATGTTGCTCAAATACTAGCTGACTAGGGAACTGCACCATAGCCAGCAACAGTACTGTGATGTAATATTGAATTCAGCCACAATCACATTTTTGGCCCTTGAGTGGTTGTGGGGAGTTAGCATTGTTCTATCTGATCTTAACAACAAATGAAGCCCCAATGTTGCTGTTCTACATGTCTTACTAGATTTGAAATGATGATATGAAATCCAGAATTTTCTCTGGAGTTGTCAAAGTCCTAATGATTCTGGATTTTGTACTGTACTATTCAATGCTATTTATTCTGGATTTTGGACTTTGTACCATTGTACACTACCATTCTGACAAAATTATAATTTGTTTTACATCATACATTATGAAAAGAAGACAAAAAGATTTTATAAAAGTAACAGAAAAAAATAAACTGGAATATGGTCATTCCTGATAAGAATGCAAGTTTGACACCTTCTCACCATGCTGGCAATTAAATTAGCATATTTAATTGATAGAAAAGCCAATATGCATGACTTATTCTCACTGTAGTGTCTTCAAAACTGTTGCAGCAAAAGATAGCGCACTTATTGGTCTGTTAGGCGGTGTACATGCAATTTAATCTTAACCTCAGCTTCTACACTTTCAAATTTTAACAAAATTAGGCAATCAATAATTTAAATCTTATCACAATTATGGATTTTTGAAATTTCTAAAAACGTGTTGTATATATGAACTTTCTAAACTAGATTAGATTATTTGTTACAGTAAAATACTCAATGTTAGATTATTTACATAGATAGTGGTTCAGGGGAAACTTTCTAAAGAAAACTACTTCTGTGCATGTGAACGGGAAAAAAAAATGTAAAATCCATATGTAATCAGTCCATTCATTAGTCAAGGACCGAACGAAGATTATTAGAGTTCAACAGTATTATCCACTAGGCCATCTTAGGGTAAAACTTTAATCACTTTTGAGATATCTAACAGTAGAAGTTAATCAAGAAGTGGTAAAATATCCATGCTTAAATCCCGATATTTTTCAGGTTAGTTAGTCATGTCTCTTGACAAAACTGATTCAATTAAACTGAGATCAGAAAAGGCTTGAATTGGTTTGAAATTTTACAAGAAAATATAAAAACTTTCCATCTGTTTAAATTTTTTTTTTTTTTCTTTGCACTTGCATAACTTTTTAAACAATTTTAACCCAGTTTCAAACAGTTGGCTATTCCATATTTATTAAGCATCAAAGTCAAATAAACATATTAGTAATTATTTTCTTGCAATTTCTCTTTTTCAAGTGTATAAGTAGAGAAATTATGCAAAAAATTAAAACCGTTTGCATCAAAAATGTATCTAGAAGACAATAGTTCGTATTAAACAGTCAAATAAAATTACATAGATGGCTAACTGGTGGCCCATGGCTAAATTAGCAAAGCTTATTGTGATTAATCAGATTTATGAATTTGTGTATACGTTTATATTTCTAACAATTTTAGGCTATTTTGATAGAAAGATTATTACTAATCAATTCTGCAAAAGTCCTGAAATAATCTGTGTTTATTATTCCAGGATATAATCTTAGATATTTGCTAAACATAATGTTGTGCAGTTTGTGGCCCCAAGACATAAACTGGGCTTTGAGAATAAAGAAGTTGGCAGCACTGCCTTAGATCATTTAGGGATGCATCAACAGCAAGCACATGGAGATCAAAGTATATGCCAAAAGAAAGTGCTCCAAAATTAAGATATTGTTCCTTCTGTAAGAAGTTCTTTTGAGAAAGCTGAACTGGTTGCATCTCATTGGTTCCCTTTTCCAGATAATGACAAGATACAAGTCATTGCGTAGAAAGAACTTGATTTCAACTGACCATTATTGAGCTTTTTGTTATTTTCTCCATGTAATATGTTTTCTGACCTACAACAGTCTAGTCAAACAGCAGTCTGTAAATGATTCAATGGAATGGAATATGAATGATCTGGCAAGTAGTGCTAGTCTATTGAGTCTTTCTCACAGCTGAAGCACTATGCATCTTAAGGCTGTTCAACAGGCACATATGCAGTTCTGATTTGTTTCCACCTTCAAGAAAGAAGCAGAAATGATTTTCAGAAAAGATTGTAACTAGGGGAGGGTTTGGTATAGCTAAAGTAAGACTCACTCAGGAAATAATTCAATAGCCTATTTACGACACTGCCATTAAATTCTCTATTTTTTAAATAGTATACAGAGAAAACTGCTTCTTAACGTTTAGAGGGCAATGTAGTGAAGTTTCTAATGAAGTAAAATATCTATTATATTGTGAAATAACTTCATATTTTTTCATGAGCTATTTAAAAATAGGCTTAATTCTAAAGTTCTACCATAAGAAAAAAATGAAAAAAGAAAAAAAAATATTTTATTTATTTATCTTCTGAAATCAGTTTTATACATTAACTGGAAAGCATTAGTGTAATATACATTGTTTATTAATGTTATACTATCTTCATAGTATAATTTAGAAAATTTCATCAGCAGCACTTTTCTGCTCTCTAGAGGTTATTTTATTATGACAAAGAATATTAGGGCTCTATATGTGAACGGATGCCTTTGTAACAGATTTTCAAAACCATTACAATACCTATATTGCCAGTATATTCACTAGAATTTTAATCCAGGACAAAGTACCAATACTGAGCAATCTTATCCCTTTGTCCACTATGTTCTATAATTCAGATAATTTACAACATAATCACTCTTATTAAATCAAAGACTTAACAGTTCTTAATATATGATGTTAGAGCTCCTAATTAAAATCTGGTTGATTATTTGTTTAAAGCAAATCATGGAAAGTTACCTGCTAAGTGGAGAGACTGTTTAATGGAAAACTTTTATGTTAATTTTGAAACTGCATTTCTGCACATTCACAGTGGCCTTTTTTTCACTCTTCCCGAGTTTATAATAACTGCCAAGTGATAAGATTTAATAACATAAAAGTAGTACTTTATAATATCTAATTTTCAAAATATTTTTAAAGATAACATACTACAATTCTTTTCATCTGAATTATCTCTACAGTCTCTTCTCATGTTGCAACGACTGCTGGATTCCACACATTCTCCACTGTCACAAAGCATTTCATCTTCAGAACAACCTACAAAAATTACCATAAATAAAACTTTCACTTAAAGACTCACTAAAAATTTTAATTAAAATTTAATATAATAAATTCTGCTTTATTTAGCATTAGAATTTCACAAATAAGGTGTTAGAAATCTCCCATTTTTAACAAATGACTTTCAGAATTGCTCTTATTAATATTTTATTGTGAAGAAGTGACAATTCTAATTGAGCCCTTATCTTAAAATACCTAAGTTATTATTGTTTTTAAATTGGTAAAGCAAATATATACGTAATGCATTTTCTGTGGCATTTAAACATGAATGCTATTGCAGGCCACTGAAATTGGAAATTCAAGCACAAATATGCATAGGTCTTGAAGAAACTCAGGTATCAACATTTGGGATAATATAATCATCTAAGATGTCAATATTTCTTCCATCTTACGTTATGTATGATTAACTACCCTTTATACCTTTCATTTCCAGCTTAAGGATAATTCAATCAAGTAACCTCGACAAATATCCCTATCATCTTCAACTGTATAACATAAAAATTGTTTCTGCTACTGTCTTAATTCAATTATGGATCTCGGGATAGAGCTGTCTAGCTCAGAAATTTATTTGCAGTAATGCTATAATTTGAAAGGTTATTTGGAACTAATTTGTTTATCCAAACATAGCAGATGGGCAAAATCCAAGAGTGAATTATTTTATGTGTTTATTGTTTACAAAATGCATTCAGAGAATGATCCAATGTATATATAATTCGGAGAATTGGGATGAACATTATGAAAAAATTGTGTGTTGGGCTTCAAAGTGAATGTTCTACTTAACACCCCAGCTGATCAAGCTGAAGTGTTTTCCTAGAGAGACAACCAAGGACAAACTATCTGTAATCAGATAGTAGCAGGTGGTAATTATTAGAACTACCAGTTTGAAATTTCAGCAATGCTGGACCACATGTGCACGTACCTACATCCATCGAGAGCTAAAAGTCATACCATGAACATTGGCATGTACGTTCGAGTATTGCAGAAGTAAAAACTTTAAATCAAACAGGCCGTATAACACACACTCAGCAAAAACTGTGTCAGGACAAAGATCATTAGAATTGCAGGCAAGACAATTAGTGGATACAATCTAATTCCAATATGACAGTGCAATGGCAAGCATAACTATGGTTGTACTTCAACAAACATTTCCAGATCATCTGATTTCCCATTCTGGTGATTTGATTTGGCCATCCCATATCCTAACTCTGAACTACTTCCTGTAGGTATTGTCTGAAGGTCTTTGCTCAATGTTTGGAGATACAACTGAAGACTGCCATCAGCCATTCAGCACATGCTATTCCACAGGTCATACTGAGATGCATAATACGGAATGCCTTTCTGCATCACCTCAAACAATGTATTTGGGCAGAAGGAGGATAATTAAAGGATGCTATTTTTAAGGTGTGCTAATGTTTTGTTTTGTGCATGTTATATATTGCATTTAATGGCTATGTGTCTGAGATACATCATGAATGTCTTTCTGCGTCACCTCAAACAATGCATTTGAGCAGAAGGAGGATACATAAAGGATGCTATTTTTAAGGTGTGCAGATGTTTGTACACATTATACACTGCATTTGATGGATATGTGTATGTTGTTGTTTCATAATGTTGCTGTTTCTACAAGCCATCTGTCTGTAATTGTTTAAATTTAATAAGTAACAATATGTACTACCCTTTATGCAGTCTATTTTTAGGTGAAATAAGCTAAACTTATCAGTAATAAACTAACTCTTTTGACACTTTTCTTCTTTATGCATCATTTATTCTTGTTTTGAAATAGTCATGATTTATTTCCTGCAAGTTGCATAATATTTTTACTTAGCTTACTTGTCTTTTTGCTTCCTTTTTTATTGTTATTGCTTGCTAAATTTTAGATTTTCATACTTCATTATTCATATTACATCAAAAATGATCATTACTATAAAAATAGTACATATGTTATGACTTACTTTTTGAGATGAAGACAGGGTACTTCCCAAGACTCACTGGCATAACTGTTGTAGGAGCAAGTGTGGTAATATGTCTTATTATTTCAGTTTTATCTTTGATGGTATCTTGATCACTTTGAGTTGTTTGCTGCTCATGCATTAAATCATCATCTAATTCGATTATGCCTCCATCATCTGATTCTATGTCATTGGGGTTAAAATGGAGAGCCGAAAATTGAGGAACAATTTTTGGAACTCCTGACAGAATTACGGTTGTAACATTTAATCCATCTTCATTTCTATTTGTAATCAATGAATCACCTGATGTCACATTTTCAGAAGTATCAGTAGATATATTTCCACTTGTTTCATTACTCTGTACAGCTGATAATAAAGTGATTCCATCATCTGTTTGGTGGTTAATAGTTGACAAACTTGCATCTTCAACATTTTCAAAACTACTATAAGCTGAAGCATCTGTGTATACTGCACTGGAATCAATAGAATCAGAATTTAATGTTAATTTAAAACTGTCTAAACTTGAGAGACCTGGTGTTGATGTATTTATTTCGTCTTTATTGATAATAACTCCTTCTGGAGTATCAGATGATTTCACAAAATTATGATGAATAGTTGTTGATTCTTCTGTAGATATGCCAATAATAGCAGCAGACTGAGAAGTAGGCATATCATGTTTCTCAGCATTATTGGCAGGTGACATTGTAGTTAGAGAAAAATGGGCTTTATGAAATCCATGACCTTCTAATGTATGAATGCTAAAATTATTATTTAAAGATTCACCAAGGTCCTTAATGGTATGAAGTTTTGTCTCAGATGCAGAGTGCGTAACAAGTGAAGGAGCTTTTTCTGTCATATTTAATTCACTTATATACAGAGAAATATCTTCTGTAGTAATAGCAAAATTTTCATTAGAATCATATGAATATTCCTTTTCAGTAATTGTTTCAGCAACATTTAAAGTCTGCATTTGCTGTGAATTGTTCAAGTCTACTGGTATCATTGAATCAGTTTCATTTGCCTCATTAGCAACATTTCCAGATTTATTAGTTATGTGTGAAATGGTAGACGTTACCATTGAAATATCTTCCGATTCTTCAGTTGAATTAAAAAATGGCTTTAAGTTGTCTTTGACTGCTGTATTTGATATGCTTTCATTTCTGAAATCTAGGTCATCAAGTAGTAGTACATCTATTAACTCAACATTTTCAGTTGGTGCAGTGTAGCTATTTATTGTTGTGTATTTCAGAAGATATGTTTTGTTCACACCAACGTCACTTTTTAGGCTTTGAATGTTTATCTCTTGTTCATCTTTATCATTCATTATATTAGTGCTTAAATCTAATTCAGCTAGATCACTTGAATAATCAACTGTTGATGATACATCATTGTATGTTGTGAAACTGGAGTTAGTGTCACTAGTGTTTGTTTTAGGAAATGAATCATCATCTGGGTTTGCTTCAGATGATGTTGATTCAGGAAAAAGACCAAATAATTCTTTATTAGGTAAATTCGCTTTTAACTCTTGAGTAATCAGAAGACCTTGAGTAGTTTCTGTATGGGTATTTTCTATTGGAATTTGAGATTCAGAATTTTTTTCACTTTTAATATTTACAGTTGTGGATTTGTGTATTTCTTGATGTAATTCTGTATCCTGCAAATTTGATGGTACTAGATTGGTATCTTGAATGTTTTTTTCTTCAACAAGTCCAATAATATCACCATTGAATGTAGAGGATACATCCAGCCAATCAGAGCTATCGGTAGAATATGTAGTTTCTGTAACTGCAGATTCTATCTTTTCCAGAAATCTGTAAGATGCATGATCATTCCTATTAACAAATGCTGAATCATCATTAACTGAAGATCGTACAGTATCTGAATATTTAGTTCTGTTCTGTATTGGCCTGGCCATCTCTAATCGCCCACTTTCTGGCAAAGTGGAAGTTTGATTCTTTTTATTAGGCTGTCTAACTACTAGCGACACTGAAGACATAATTGATGAGGCAACTTCTCCTCGCTGAGCATCTGAAATGATTGGTCGAAGTGGTCTGCTGTTTCGTACTGGAATAGGAGCAGGATCAACATGGGATAAAGGGTCTTCTAAAACTTTGACAGAACCTACACCAACATGCAAAGGACTAGATCCAGAAGATGGCCTGAAAGGTCTTTGGGCTTGAGAAGGACTTGATTCATCAAGCAACCTGACAGATCCTCTTCCTGGAGGTGTCCGTTGATCACCAAAGGATGGAGAAACCGAATCTTCAATAGGTACAGGTCGCCATTGGCCATAACTGAAATGAGAGTCTTCTTCAGGATTAACAGATCCAACAGCAACTACATGTCCAGTACCTGTAAAATATTATAAACATTTTTACCCTGGAATGATAGGAAAATTCTATTTTAACACAAATTCATTGAAGATAGACCTTTAAAAATTGTAATGCTTATGCATCGTTATTCTGCATACCCAATTGTTCAAAATTAAAGAAAAATCTGCAAAATCATATTCCTTCATCTCAGGCCAGAGAATTGTTTTATTAGTGAGACTTCTTACTTGCACATCATTATTCATCATCAGATAATAAGTGAGTTGCATTAATACTTAAACATTTTTGGAGCAATAATGAAACAGCAAAATAGATATATTTTTATGACTGTCCTCTCTTTCAGTTTTAATAGTTTCTTCACCCCAATTTAATGATTTAACATATATCACTGCATTTTCTGATAAATCTTTGAGAGATAAATCATTAAATAAAAATTATCTAGAAGATACATTTAATATAATAGATATGACAACAGAATTTATACAAAAAATCCAATATGAAAGAATACAAAAGATAGTTAAAAAAAGAGCTTCATGAATTAATATAACTTAAAGACCAATAGAATTGTTTGATGGCCAATAAAACAACCAGAAGTATATTTGTAAGTATTGTAATGAATTTTGCATAGAGTTAGTTTTAGTGCAATTATATGTGAAATTGTATTTTTCTGTGTAATGTAACATGAAAAATTTCCTCATAAATTACATTATAGATATATATTTATATGTAAACTTATGAAGCAAACAAATGAGTATCAAAGTCTGAGTTCAAGACGGAGTATTTCAGGCTTGTTTTGGCAAAGGTTTCATTCTGAAAACTGTATGTATTCCAGAAAAGTACATAAATAAAAAAGAGGCCTTCCATTCCAGTCAGCCAATACTCTTCTTCATTCAAGGAACTGTATTCATTCATGCATCTGTTTCATAAATCATCTTCCAAAAATTCTGTAAATTCTTTACTAATTTAGCTTAAAATAACACAGCCAACAATGATTATTTTAGAAGTCAAACAACAAAAGTCAGCATTATATTTGCAAGTTTTCCAGGACTAATTTTGATGGCTTGACTAACGAACCAACTTCCTCAGCTGCCAAAGTGCAAATGAATGAGATAAGATAAGAATGGGTGGACAGGAGTTAAGCTACTGGCACCATCTATTGATGAAACAAGAAAACTAAAACATAATTTCCTTCAAGAAACAAACTTTGTTCCTCCTTCAAAAAATTTAACTTTTGGTTGGTTTATTCTCTCATCAATAAAATTCCCAGTTCCATACTTGAGGACCCCATTCCGGATAAGAATTTCTGAGCTATTTGCAGGTTACATTGGTCAAATTAAGAGAACCTTAAAATTTCGTGTTGAACATGATGTATATGTTAAGAAAAAAGAAACACAGACGTCCTCTGTAGCCCAGCACTGCTGGTCCAAAAATCACACTTTCCATTTTTCTGCAGCCAAAATTATTCAAAAAAACACATTCCATTATTGAATTAGATTTTCTAGAGATGATTTAATCTTCTGGCTAATAACCCTAATTCCAATCCATTCAGGGTCGTTTCTAGGGCACTGGCTGCCCGTGTACTTTCCTAGGGTTGCTGCCCCCAAGTTAAAAAAATGCTCGGTGATTAATAAAATATTTATTTCAAAGTCACTAAGTACTTGAATATGACAAACTGTATAAAAAGTACTTACATATGTCAAGTACTTACAATAAATTTAATGAGTGTAAAGTATTTAGTTATGGTATCACGGAGAGTCCAGCCACCCCCGATTTTCACCGCCCGCGTACTTTTACGCACTGCAGCCCTGCTAGGAAGGGCCCTGAATCCAACTTTAACTTCAGCTTTAAAGAAAATTATGTTTTAGTTTTCTTCCTTCACCAAAAGATGGTGCCAATTGCTTAACTCCTGTCCAGCTATTTTTATCTTATTACCATATTTTATCTCGTTCATTTGCACTTTGGCAGCTGAGGAGGCTGGTTTAGTAGTCACACCATCAAAACTAGTCCCGATAAATTTGCAAATATAATGCTGACTTTTGTTGTATGGCTGAAATAAGTTAATTATCTGTTAACTGTCTTTTGTTCTTACAACTAGCTCATTTAGGATGAGAAAATTGTCAAAAATAAGAAAAATCTTGAAACAAATTTACATAAAAAAATGGAAAAAAAAAAAAAAAAAAAAAAGGAAAACTAATTGCTGCATTTACTACATTGCCTATACAACTATACGCAAACAATACACAGTGCTGACTAACATGAGATGAAATGACCTCATACCTCACCATTCATTAGAATGCGATTACTAGATGATACCACCATATTACATACCAGCACATGCTTGGCAGCAAATATTTTAAACATCCTACATCACATCAAATTCAATGTAAGTATACTACATCTAGGATTTTTCAAAGTATAACAGACTACAGATTTGCCTTATAAATTCTGTTATGGAGGAAGTAATATGAATGAATTTTATCTACATTTTATATGAAGATGCTATTATTTATAAAAGTTTAAAATTTATATGAAGTTTTTACCTGTGCCAGATATCTCTTTGACAGGCACTGGATCAATGGATGAAGGTGTCAAAGCAGGAGATGGAGTTGAAGTGGGGGGTTTCTTAGGTTTCCTAGTAGCAAGAACTGGTCTCCTTGGATATTCTGTGGCTCTCGTGGAAGAACTAGGTTTGGAATCAGGGTGAGGAGTAATGGGCTGAGATGCTGGTGTAGACATTTTTGGAATACGTAAATCCAGACCTGGCACAGCAAGCCATTCTTCATTTTCTGAAAAAGGGGAAATAAATCTTTCAAAAAAATGTAAGTTTAACTATTTTCAGCTTTTCATCATACAGCGTAACTACCACTTAATTTAATAAGCCATTCAAAGAAAATTTTAAATGAATATGTGTATGTAAGGAGGTGAAAAACATTTACAAATGGAGACCAAATGCATCTTGCCAGTCCAGAAACAGTGTTTGAGTGGATAATAAAAGTATGGAATGACATTAATCCTGATACAGTCAAAAGTCGTTAATCGGGACTTCGGCGATTCCGGGTTATTGATTTTTCCGGATTATAGATCATTAGTTTAAATCTGGTAAGATGGCATGCAGAAACCATAAAATTAAAAATATGAAACCATAATTTATGAAATAAGAATTATGTCTAAAGGGTATCAAAATTTACAAAAAAAGCTTAATATTATTTGTTTATTTAAAACATTCTTTCAATGAGTTGTTTAAATGCGTCGTTTATTGATAAACTTTTTTCTTTAATTAATAAACAGACAGATTTCTTGTTCAGTTACCAAGTTTGCTGTTCAAGTTATATAATTGCTGTGTCCGAGAATACCGACTAAGTTCTCAATCGAAATTTTTTTTTTCATAACCTCTGTGTCACTTTCGTCACTATCGGAAGCAAATTATAATGACGAAGAATTTGATTTAAATCATTCAAAGATGGAGACATTGAATTGCTACATTTAGTAAGGAATTATAAGCCAAATAAAATAAAAACATCTGCCCTGAAGATAAGGATAGTGCTGACAGATCAACTTCCAATTCATTGCCTGCCACGGCGTCAACTTCCAATTCATGCGCACACGCATATTCGCAGCCATAAAGGTCTTACGCACATGCGACGCATGCGCAGAAAGTTTGTAGCTTTGAGGTCCGGATTATAGTGGATTATAGATCGTTCCGGATCATGGGTGTCCGAATTAACGACGTTTGACTGTATAATTCAAAGTCATTTAAAACAATGTAGTATATCTAACGATCTATGTGGAACAGAAGATGATTATTTCTTTACGGATCAGCATAATAATTATAGTCAGAGTTTAAATTGTGATAATAAGATATAACGGAAGACTAATATGACAATCTTCTAATGTTATCCAAATATTGAAAATTTTTTTATTCATAAGGTATGTCACTTTTTTTTAAACAAGAAGCATTTTAAGTACATGGAAAAATCTAATTTTTTCATGCTTATCCTTTCCTTGCTTTTTAAGTCCAGGAATTTTATATCTGGCATATTATGTGCACCTGTAAATTTTTATCTTATTTTTTGTATTTAAATAGCATGATATACACCGGAATATATGGTAAATAATCTACTTATTACGCTATTGTAGAACATAGTTCCTTTTAATGTTTCTGTTTTTCTTCAAGTTTGTAAAGATAATTTTGGTACAAATTAGATTAATAATGTGATCAACAAAAGCATTTTATATAAAGTAAAAAATATGTAAATCATAATCACCATCAACTTCTACTGATTCTTGATCTACCGTGAGAGCTCCAAATGCAGGAGAATCCGTTCTTATAAGATCCTTAACAATTTCAATAGTGTTTGCATCATCTTGTTTTAGTTTCCTTCTGTCTAAATATACTCTGAAGAAAACCAGCATACCTGGCCTGCAAAAATAAAAAGGTGAAAGATTCAGTGCTTGATGCTGTGATTTCATTTTTAAATCTCAAACAAATAAACAAAATATGTAATTAAATAAATCTTTTTATTATTAATTTGGCAACAGGCCTTTTTTTTAATTCAAAGTTGAAAAGGCTAATAAAATCCTTTCCTTTTTTTTCCTTTTTTTCCCCAGAGCAAATAATTTAATACACTCATGTCCATAAATTAAGGATAATGCAAAGGAAGAGTTAGAAGCAAAACAAATTTGACTTATTTGTAAAGCTTATTTATTAAACAAAAGGTAAAGAGCAAAAAATACGCTATATGTTTGATATTATTAAAAAAATTAGCGATTTTTTTCTCCCTGGAGCAAATTACAAAAAAAAAAAAAAAAAACTATTTACAGAAAACAATTTACATGGTTGGTATGATTGTTAATACATTGCTGTCTCCAGACGATCAATACAGTCCGTAACAACTCCTAGGCATGCTGAGTATCAAATTATCGATCTGATCTTGGGGGATATTACACCACTCAAAAAGCAAGGCTCTCCGAAGTTCCGGTAGACATGAAGGAGGAGGTTGATGGGCTGCTATTCGTCAGCCAAGCATGTCCCACATGTGCTCTACTGGATTCAAGTCTGGTGAGAATGCTGCCCAGTCCATACGGGTGATATCCTCCGACTGAAGGCATTCGCTATTATTAATGTTTGCACGGTGAGGACGGGTGTTGTCATCCATAAACACAAATTGTGCGCCCATGACACCCCGAAACAAACCTACGTGTTGTTCCCGAATGACGTCACGATAGATTTGGCTTGTCATGGTTCCAATTTGAACATGCAGGTCAGTTCTGGAACACAGAATAATTCCACCCCAAACGAGCACTCCTGCACCACCGTAACGGTGTCGTTCAATGATGTTTTCTTGGTGGTAACGGGTACCTGGAGCTCTCCATATGAAAGTCCGGCGAGAATCAGACTGCAAGCTAAACCTGGACCAGTCGAAAAACATCACACAAGCCCACTGTTGTGGTATCCACAATGCATGCTCTCTACTCCAGGCTAACCGCAGGCGACAGTGAGTTGCAGTAAGTGGAACGCATCTGACAGGTCTACGAGCATATAGACCAATCTGCCCTAAGCGTCTGTACACGGTCTGCCTTGAAATTTTTGTACCAATGGCTGAAGAGAGCTAACGAGACAGGTCTGAAGCTGTGCTCCGCCTGTTTCTTTTGGCAGTAACTGCCAAATACCAGTCCTCATTCGGCGGTGTAACTCTGGGGCGACCTGTGCTGTAACGTCTACTCACGTTACCATCATCTTGGAATCGTTGCCAAAGGCTGGAGATGACACTCTGGACAACTCCAAGTTCGTCTGATACTTCCAGTTGAGTACGCCCACCTTCCAGACGGCCGATAATTCTACCACGTAAAAAATCATCCAAATGTGTCCTTTGTGTCATAACTATTCGGTTATTGCACTGAAAGGCTTATAAAGCACCTGCGAACAATTTTAATTCTTTGCCTGTATTCCTTATATATCACTCTCTTACACTCTCATCATTGTGACGTACCATCAGTGTCATCTGGTTACTTCCTGAAATTTGCATATCATTCTTGAAGATGGGTGTAGTGATTTTACAGGTGATATATTTATTTAAGAGTTCGATTTCCGCGTGACTCCGAATTATCCTTAATTTATGGACATGAGTGTATTTTAAAACACAGTGTTGCTTCTTTTCTATAAATGAGAAAAACCAATAATTTAAAACTGCAGTTTGTGTGACTCATGAGGTTATACTGACATGCTTTTCTCTTTTTTAGTATGTGTATCGGAAGAGAGCTCATTTTAGTGTTTTTGCTAAATAAATAATTATTTAGTATTATAAGAGAACTGAAGATAAGAAAAAAAAAGATGAGAACTACTGCTCCATTAACTGGTCAAGTTTATTTCCTAAACCTCGTTTTGTTACACTTAAAATGGGGGCAAGAAGCATTCAGATATCATATATTCAAATATTATAAATCCTTTAGTGAAATATTATTATTAATTAGAATAAAACCATAAATCCTTCAGTGAAATATTATTATTAATTAAAATAAAACTAAGATTTAAAGAACAAGATCTCATAAAAAAATAAGACATAAATTTTTCTTTTGTGCTGGCCTAATCTTCTCATTTAACGCATTAACTGCCAAATATTTTTCTCTCAATTGACATTTATTCCTGGGTGTCTAGATTTGTACAGAAACTAGAAATTGGAATATAGATGGAATCTGCCATGAGCCCCAAGGCAATGGCAGAATTCATCCTTGAAATGAGGATCGACATTCAGGTAGCCCTCAGTGAAAAATAAAATTCACATTGACAATAAATAGGTGGTAAATATATTTTTAAACCATCAGAGAATACGGCACTACACGGCAATTGGAAATGATGTACATAATAATATGACATAAGAGCAAAACGATAAAAGTGAAATAGTTCATACTGCTTGAAAGGTCTTACCTAAAAGCATATATGCGAGCTGCAATAAATGCTGGCTCTAAGGAACTAGATAAGAAGACATTTTCTACCTTAAAAAAGAAAAACAAAAAGATTAAAAATTCAGAAAAGTATTTACCAAACATCATGACAATATTAAAAGGTTTTTAACAGTAAATTTGCTTATAAATAACACTATGAACAATTTAAACAAGTTTCTGAGTTGAAAATCGGTATATTAAAAGCAAATGCTCAGGTGCATATAATTTTAGAACTAGTAATGCAGTAATTTAATTTCATATATCTTATAAATGAAAACTACTCATAAGGATTATTTTCATAACTCTGTATACTCTTATAAATTTACCAAAATTCAAATCAAAATGTTGTATAAGAGCCTTCATGTCCGAATTCTCATTTGATGAATCTTCCTTTAATTCCATTCCAGTATGCTCATGTATTAAAGTTTTTAAATATCAGATTGAATTTAATTATCAGATAAATGTTAATTTTCATTGAAACTTAAAACGATGTGAACAATGGAAAATTTGCATAAATCAGGACAGCATTTATTTGCATTGATTTGAAAGTGATACTAGTATGCACATGTTATACAGTACAGAGTCCATAATCCGGACTAGTTGGGGCTTCGGCGATTCCGGATTAGGGGGTTTTCCGGATTATAGATAATCAATTTAAATCTGGTAAGATGGGCATGCAGAAATTATACAATTAGAAATATATAATCGTAATTTATGAAATAAAGAACAATTATGATCTAAAGAGTATCAAAATTTGAAAAAAAAAAGCTTAATATTTATTTGTTTACTTTATTAAACATTTCTTTCAATGTAAGTTGTTTAAGATGCTTCCACAAGAAATTGAAAAAATTCCTTTTTCTTGTGTCATATATAGTTGGACTTTCCAATGCCATACTTATCCTATAATTCTGAGACGGATAGGTCTTTATCCATTTTTTGCAGCAATTCCACTTTTTTGTTTAATGGACATCGAGACAGGCTTTCACTTTGTAGATCCTTTGACAGCTCCAGAATTGGAAACTCTTTTTGTCAAAATCGAAAGTTCAAGCTTAATTTTTATAAAATTGTTCTAACATTCTGCAAAAAATAATAAGCCAGATCCAATTAGAAGATTAAGGAACAGCGCAATCTGCAACATTAACTGAAATGCCTTAGATAATCTTAGCCTAGCTTATACTGTCCATTATACATTAAACGCACATGCGTTTTCACATGCGCATAAAGTTTGTAGCTTTGAGGTCCAGAATATAGATCATTCCGTATTATGGACGTCCGGATTACAGACTTTGTACTGTAATAGGCTTTCCTCAGCACAGCAGAGGACTTGGCAAGAACTTCAAAGTGTGATGAGTCTAGTGCTAGTGATTAGAACTGAGAAAAGTAGCATTTAGAGATCAGAGAATGTATTGTAATATCGTAGATATTTTTTGCACTTAATTTGCTTGAGAATACATTGTTGGAATACTATCAGAGATTTCAGTGCAACAAATTGCATATGCAGTGCATGAAGTATGAGCTTGTGGAGGATGTTGCAGTTAGTGACAAACAAAGCTGCTGTCCCATCACAAGTAGATTCATTTAGATATCACAAAATTGCATCACATTTAGAAACTAATGAATAATTAGCAGCAGAGGACAGAAATGCAATATTCCTAACGTTTTTTAAAATACTGTCAATGTTATTCATCTAGATTTCTGTACTTGTTATAAAAATCCGATGATAAATGAGATTTTATGCTTAATGTCATTTTGATCTAATACTGATTCTTTAGCATAATTAAGAATTTTTGCAATTACAAAGCCTGTGGAAGCTGGTGCAGGATGGGGCGTTGCTTAAGTCTTCCATTAAGCACCACATGCTGTCTTTGTGAACCTGTTGCCATGCTGCATGTTATCAAATTCACTTCATTTATGCTACTATCCTAGCATATCATAGACCTAGAAATTTTCTGACAGTTGCCATCTAAATTTCATAGCACTATAACCTAGATAGATGCAGTCTTCAACAACATTCACTAGTGTAGGGGGGGGAGCAAATTTCCTGAGAAGCATATCAACCTCGGTGATATGTTGTTCTCTGTATCTCTGTATGAACATGTAGAAGCAGGATGGCGACTATGCATGTATCTAAGACACTCATACAGTGTGAATTTTTAATATACACATATGATAAGTCTTTAATGGTAAAAATTCTATCACTATTAATTATTATTAGAGCTAATTTGACTGTGATATGGCATTTTCAAAATGCTACTCAGAGGCATAATAAAATTTCAAATTTTCAGTAAGATAATGACCATAATTAATTACTAGAATTAATTTAGGGTCCTTTTCAGCCATTTCACTCACCAGATGTATCAAAAAGTGAAAAAACACAGAAATTTTGACAAAATGACAGGTACAGTGTATTTTGGCAACAGCCCATAAAGTATTTGATCCCATCGGTATAACATGCCCAGTCCTTATATTACCTAAGATGTTATTACAGCGTACATGGGAAACAAAAGTAAAATGGGACGAAGAAGTTAAACACCGAAAATTAAAAGTAAATTTTTGAAATTGGGTAAAACACCTTTTTCTTTTGAAAAACATTAAAATTCCAAGGTGGATACGATATCAGCCAAAACAGTGTTCAATCCATGTTTTTTGTGACGCCAGTCAAGCAGCGTATGCGGCAGTAGTTTTTATTCGTGTAGAAGAACCTGAATCAGTTAAAGTCAGTTGCTTCAGGCTAGGTCTAGAGTTTCCCCTTGTGGTAAAAAGGAAACTACTATTGTAAGATTAGAATTGTTAGCAGCAACTATTGCATCTCGTCTTGCTGCAGACGTTCTAAAAGACTTTGAGGCCAGAAGTATTTTTCGGACAGATTCAACTACTGTCCTTGCATGGATAAAAAGGGAAGAACAATGGGGGACATTTGTAGAAAATAGAGTACAGGAAATAAGGCTTTTGACACGTTGTGGAGGATTGGAGGCATATACCTGGTCACCTTAACCCTGCAGATCTTCCAAGTAGAGGGTGTTCAGTTCGCCAACTCTCCCGGTCAAAATGGTGGGAGGGTCCGAGCTGGCTTTTAAAATCCCAAGAAAATTGGCCGAGTGCCGAATTTATAACTGATGAAGCGGAAATAGCCAGCGAGAAAAAAAAGGCAGTGGTTTCATCTCTAGTGTCTACTGAAAGGTTTAGTTTGAGTGAGCGATTTTCTAGCTATCGAAAAACAGTTAGAGTTGTTGGTTGGTTCAACGATTTTTCTTTAATTGCAGAAATAAGAAAAAAAGGAAAGGTGAACTCACTGTTGATGAAATTGATTTTGCAGAAAGGTTGTTATTCGCTTGATTCAATCGGAATCGGAGGAGGATATAGAAGACGCACGCTTACGAACTCTTAGTCCATTTTACGATGCGGGAATTCTAAGAATTAAACTGGTGCGTTTCGAAGAGATGACACGTTAGAGTTAGAACACCTATAATATAATACCAGGAGAACATCCATTAGTTAGGAATTTAATTATGGAAGAACATAAAAAGAAAGGACATGCAGGTGTACAATATATACTGAATACCTTAAGGAAAGGTTTTGGTTGTTATCTGGCAGAAGAACGGTGCGTTCTGTTTTGAGTAAATGCATTACTTGCAAGAGATATTCTGCTGCACCTGTTTGACCACATATCAGCCCCACCCGCCAATAGAGCGAGTAAATGATTCAGCAGTATTTCAAGTAACGGGTATAGACCTTTGTGGTCCTTTATTGTTGAGAAACAAAGAAAGGCATGGATTTGTGTTTTACATGCGCCGTTTATAGAGCGGTCCATTTGGACTGACTTCTCTATCTACAGAAGTGTTTCTTCAGGCTTTTCATCGGTTCGTTGTCACGAAGAGGTAAACCCACAACTGTGTACAGTGATAATGGAACTAATTTTGTAGGAGCTTCAAATGCATTTAAATTAATAGATTTTGAACAAATTAATCGGCAGGCAGCCAATGAGCGAATAACATGGAAATTTATTCCCCCTGGTGCTCCATGGTGGGGTGGTTGGTGGGAACGTCTGATCGGAATGATGAAGCAAGTCCTTAAAAAAGTTCTTAAAACATGCTTGTTTAAATTATGAAGAAATGTACACGATACTGTGTGACTGTGAAGCGATTCTTAATGACCGACCGTTGACAGTAATTCCTTCCGATACTGAATTTAAAGCTTTAACTCCTGCCGACTTTTTAAAAGAAAATTAGAACTAGTAGTTTGCGGGATATAAAATACGGTATTAAATCAAGTAATTTACAAAGAAGATTTCAGTATATTCAAACTGTACGAGAAGCATTTAAAAATAGATTTCGTAAAGAATATTTGGGAATTCTCAAGGTTTCGCATAAAAGAGCTGAAAGGAAAGTTACTATTAAATTAGATGATATTGTTTTGATCGGTAGTAGTGACAAAAGACTTTTTTGGCAACTTTGGTCGTGTCATAGAACTACTTCCAGGACCTGATGGAATAAATCGGCTTGCAAGAGTAAAGACCCGAAATGGAATTTTGCTTAGAGCAGTTCGAACTCTGTATCCTTTAGAGGTAGCGCAAATGATGTACCCGTGAAGCTGCAGAATGAAAAACAAGATTCTTTGTCTGAACTTAAACTCAACATAGATGATAAATCTGTCAGGCCTGTAACACGATCTGGTAGAACTGTAACTCCGCCGACAGACTGGCATATTAAGGCTCTTTGGCATTGTTTTTTACTTTGATGTGAAAGTTCACTTTTTTTTTCTCTTTTTTTTTTTTTTTTTCCCTTAGGTGGAAGGATGTTAAATATTTGCATAAGTCGCCTGTAGTAACGGCAACCGCCGGCAATAAAAGGAGGTGCTTTCCTTAGTGGCACCGCAGTTCCTTTTAGTTTGAGCCAGAATAGACCTGCCAGGGGAGAAGCCAGGGGATGAGAGATTCCGGTTTCCGCTCTGTTCCGGTTCCCGTCTTGTTCCAGTCCAGTTCCGGTCCTGATCCAGTCCTATTCCAGTTCCAGCCTGGCCGTTTAAGTCCAAAACACGTAGGAGCGGATGTCTGAATTCAGCGAATGGAGATATACGCCGAAAGGGCTAGATGGATTCTGTCTTTTAAGGAAAGTGTTCTTCACCGTGCCGGCATAAGCTGTACTTTAAAGCACTTTGATTTAAGTTTTTGTTTGTGATGTTAAGTTTTCATCAGTGTTGAAGTTCCAGTTAATAAACCTTTAGTTTAGCAGGTTTTGGGTTCTTCAAACTTTTTGATAGAAGTAGAATAATACTAGGATTATTAAGCGGAAACTCACATTCTAATTTGCCAAATGTAACGGTAAACGCCAGCGCATGTTTAACTCGGCGCTGCGCCAGAAAGTTTAGTTTGAGGTCCGGATTATAGAAATTCCGAATTAGGGTGTCCGAATAACGACTTTTGCTGGATATTAAATATATGTGATTTAATAGAAACGTATGTTTAATGAGCAATTTATGTTTCTACAAAAAAAATTAGAATAAATACATGATTTAAAATAATTAATAAATTTTAGTTATAAACCTAATAATTTCGTTTCATTACATAATATTATGAAATTTTAAATATTTTTACTGAATGAAGTTATTTAAGCCAAATTAAAGAAAATAGAGCAAATGAATATTCTCGCAATAAAAAATCTTCAAATTTCATTGCAGAATGCAATACAAAGTAAAGATAGTAATTTATTGTGGCCTAATGGCATATTCAGCTGCAATGCTTGCTCAAAATATATAATTATGCTAGATCCAACCTGATTGTAAGAGGTTAGACTGGTGCTCTGGAGATTAGATAGTTTTAAAAGTAGGAAACATTTTAGTTTTTTATTAAGTACAGCAGTTATTAGACAAGATTATATTTAACAGTGTATGAAAAAAACTCTACATAGTTGTGGATAAAAAAAAGTGTCAATTAAGAGTAAAATTCTTACCATAGTTTGGTAGGTTTCTGTCTTAATTAGGAACTGGTGTGATGTGACATTTAAAAGAGCATCAGAGAACTCATCTCCATTAGTCACACGAAATTTGCCACTTAGTGATAAAACTGGGAAAAGAAAAGATATTTAAATACAAAAGTATGCTTATATATGTATCTATCTATATATATATTATACATTATTTTATTATATAATAATATTTAAATACAAGTACATATCTTAGTCTCAAATATTAACAACAGGGTTCCTTTGGCACTTGGTGCACACCCAATACTAATAATAATAAACTACTGTATTTGATTTATTTCTACAAATAAAACCATATTGCACACTCGCACGAAGAATTTACACTTCTGCCGCCACCTTGGACTACTGAGTCCATATTTAAGGAATAAGAGTGGATTCCTACAGCTAATGCTCGTGATGGTAAAATCAACAAAAATGGGGGGAAAAAAGCTTTGATTAACACCAAATTGCATGAAGGTAGAAAATATGTTTGTGTACGAAAGAAAGATTTGCTTAAGAGCTAAATCTACTGCTGTATTTTCCTGGCATTATCCTCCAGCTCATAACTGGTAGTTTGGCAGGCAGCCGGGATATGCTATTGCTTTTGAGGATAATCGTACTCAGCATACTACTTTGATGAGGCTCCTAAATGGACACCTCAAATGCCTTAAATTTGACTGGAGAAATAAGTTTTAGCCCATCTGTAGGACAGGCAATACTGATCATCTCACTCCAGAACATATTCTTACCTGTTTGGAGCTTGTAAAAGAGGACCTACTGAAAAGATCTACCTTTGTTTTGGATATGTTGATGGCGCTTACAGTCGTGTATCTGGTCTAGCCTTATGGCTAACCAGTTAGGATCAGTAACAACAACATGGCTTGGCTGTCAGGGCTGCTACCAGAACCGGTGCAATCAATCACAGAGCAGCAGAATTTATAAACAGCAAAAGTTTTGGAATTTAGGGAAGTGATGAGAGCAAAATTTAGGAATGGCAAAATATTTAGAATTTTGAAGAGTCAGCAGAATTTAAAGCTGCAATTATTTTTTAATTTAGGAAAGCACAGGTTGGCATAATTTAGGACTTATAGAGAGATTGTATCAGTAGATAAAAATTCCCAGCGCCTGTTCTGACTGCTATAGCAAAATACCGATCTTCAGAAAGGGTGGTAACCCAAAATTGACTGACACAGGTGTCCAGACAGCAGTTTGATTTTTTGGGGAATTCTCATTCAAAAAGTTATTGAATGATCAACACTAAAGAAAAATTTGATTGATCGTCCTGATCCATCTTACAGCACACTAATGTTCCCTATCTGTTATTCCTTTTCCTTCAGCTGCAAAAAAATGAATATTGTTACGTTATTTTCTTTTCTTCACGTTCGTATGGGGTTCGTGTGGATTTGTAGTGAATAACGACGACACTTCATGAAGTATCGAAACACACTTTATTTAGCTAGTACTAATCAGGACAGCTCCCAAACACGTTTTTACAGTCGTCGATGAACTACTACAAACACGCTGAC